CAAGCAAGTTTGGGAAGAAGCACATAATGGAAACTTAAGTGGAAATTACACAGTGGCTCCCTTTCAGATGGCGTTATGATTTTCTCCCACTTAGGAAATGACTGGGTATAAAAAGACCCATCTCTCCCTTACTCTACAGTGTAAGCAAAGTGTTAGATCACTAGGGTGATGTCCCTAATGGACTCTGTCTTTCTCGATCCAACAGGCTCAAGGAAACTAAAGATAAGGGAGATGTGCCTGCCATAGGTCAGTTGTGGCTTTTCTGAGAGTGACTTTTAATCTAGTCTACATCAGGCTCCAAGTCTGACCCTTCTATGGGGACAACTTTGGTCACCACTTTGTACTTTAGTTTCTTCATGTCTGAAATGGATTTCTCAGACTCTTCCCCAGGAATGAGTACCCTAATTGGTTATCTAATATTAAGTGGTCAGCCCTGAAATCATATACTTACAAGTAACATTAAAAGGATATATATATATATATATATATATATATATATATATAGAGAGAGAGAGAGAGAGAGAGAGACAGAGACAGAGACAGAGACAGAGACAGAGACAGAGTGTGTTAAAAGGCCTTGAGAAGGAGCAAGGATGACATGGGAGAGTTTGGGGAGATGTATAGAAGTAAGGGGGAAATTACATAATTATATTTTAATTTCAAAACAATACAATTTTTGAAAACGACTTTGCCACTGTGTTGGCGAAGTTTCTAAGCAGTTAACAAGAGTGCGATACTCACAGCTTTAGTTATTAGAAGCTCCATTTTTGCCCAGTTTCATTTAGTGAGTCCTGCAGGTTGTTGCTGTGATCACTTCAGGAAGGCTGAACATGAAGAGAAGTTTAGCAGCTACTGAGTCCTGCCACCTGCAAAGTGGCAAATGTTGGGAAGATGGAAACTAGGCTAAGCTATTGCATTTCCCATGTGCCCATGGAGACTGATGCGGTCTCTTTTTCTGGTCTTTCTGAGGAGGACATGCAAACCAGACTCTTGAATGATGGGCCTGGGGACGCCCCTGCCCTGCTCACAACCTGCTTTAACTAATACTCTAAAGGAGCAGTGTGATGTAGCCTCTGTCTACATCCTTCCCTGAGCCCATTCTGTCTCTCAAAGGGAGGGGCTTTTAGCAGTTCAAGTCACTCAGATAAAAGGGATGTACTGGAGACCAGAGGGCTCAGCTGGAAGCATTGTTAATGGATCATCATAAGGAAGGGCTTGTTTGAGAGGTGCGGTTGCCATTTAATATTAGTTCCTTCATGTGCACGTGTATGGCATGTGTGTTCCCTTACATGTGAATGTATGCATATGGGTGCACATGTGTAGGTGTTCAGGTGCTTGCCCACGTGTGGAGGACAGAAGACAACATATCTCTCACTACTGAGAAGCTGTTCACCTTTCTTTTTTCTTTGAGACAGCGTCTCTCCCTGACCTGGTGCTCACCTTGACTGGTAGGCAAGCTTTCCAGTAAGGCCTGGGCGTCAGCCTGTGTCTGATTCCCCAGTACTGGTTTCCAAGAGCACACCACCCAGCTGTCTTTCTTACAGGGCCTCATGCCTGGCTCAGCAAGTTTTATATGGATTGAGTTATCTTCCCAGCTCTAATGTTTGCCTCGCATGTCAGAGTGACTCCAAGATCCCAGAGGCTTTTGTTTGAGGACCCAACTGCAAATAGAGATTCTGAGGTTCTTCTTCCCTGCTTGGAGCTTGGCCCATCACTACCTGAGCTCTGCTAGAGATGTTCTGTGGTCCATGCTACTTCTATCTCACCTTGCTCTAATGATGCTGCAAAATAGTGTTGGCTATGCATTTTCAGGATAAGGAAGCTAGGGGAGTTACCTATCCTGCCAGGAGAAGAAGGTCTTAGGAGCCGAGTCCGGGTGGGTTTGAATATCTGTCCTACCACTGCAGCTCCTTGGCCTCAGGCATGTTTGTATAGTTTCTTTGCTCCATGCCTCAGTTTTTCTATCTGGAGAGTGATGATTAATATTACCCTAGAGTTGCTTTAAGGAGATAATTAGTTAACACTTGTAAAATGCTTATAAAAGTGCCTGACAGGTCCAGAAGAATTCACTACTGCTATTGTGCTTGGTAATATTAATACCCTTTGGGGTAAAAAAAATAGGCTCTATATAAATATAAGGAAAAGAGTTAGGATGTCTTCATAAATTGCTAGGGCTTAGGTGATACACAGACCTGAGGGTTTGGCCCATTTGAAGTGATCCAAAGCCGGGGGACTGATTTTCAACAACTCACGTGACAGTTGATCTGGAAGTCTGGGGCACCATCCTTGTGATTCTTAATGGTCCAGGTACCATTGGGATGAGGAGCAGGATTCCTCCTCACAAGATTAAAACAAACAGAAACTCGTACTTTATATTTCCTGAGAAAGTCTCACTCGCCCAGTAACCGTTTCAGATGCCTGTAGCATGTTGGGCTAAGTTAGAAAGATGAAGGCTGAGTTTCTCTGTCTTGTACCGTCCTTGATGGCCCTCACACACATACACAGGCAGTTTCAGGCACACTTACTGAATAACCATCCTTTGTGGACACACTGTCTCTACAATAACACAGGTTACTGCCCATGGAACTCAAGGGATTTTACTCAAAAGTCTCCGCTTGCTTTGGTTTCTCTTGCATTTGCATATCCCGTTGGCCAGGTGGCAAGCTAGAATCGATTTTCATAAGAAAGAAACTGCTGCTCATCTCCAGACCATTGTCCAAGCCTCAGCCTTTATTTTTAACCTTGGAGTTGACAACAGCCACCTGGGCCAGGAGCAGGCAGGTGGCATCTGACTGAAGTCACCCCAGCAGCCTCACCTGCAAGAAGCCCATTGAGACACTTCTCTCTCCTTTTGTATGTGGGATCAGGAGAGGCCTGGAAGGGCTGTCTCCCTGAGTGACAGGGTCCCTTTGTGAAATTGGCCAGCTGAGACTGAGCTGCAAATGTCAGTAAAAACAAACAGCGTTTCAAAGGGAGCTTGTGCGTTTCCTTCCGGTGTGTGCGCATTGCTTCATCAGCCAAGAGCTGCATGAGTGGCTTCGGCGAGCGCTGGGCCCCTGAGATAAGGAATTAGCTGCACAGAGCATCTTTCCTTCACTGCAACTGCCTCCCTGCAGGGTTTCGTGGGCTTTGTTTCTGTTTTGAAAGTAGCTGCTTGCTGGTGACACAAACCAAGGCAAAGAAACGAACTTGCATGGCTGGGCCTTCTCCAGGATGACTTCTCATTTCTTTGTTTTGCATCTGTCTGACACTGCCTTGTCGTGTTTGGAACCTGCTTCCTGCTCTAGGAGAAGGCAGCTGGCACCTGTAATAACCATACTTCATAATAATGGGCCCTCTTTTGTCATCATGAAGCAGTGGTTTAGGTGAGTCTCTCCCCTGTTTTAAACATGAAGAACGTTGGGCACATGAAAAACTGCTTCAAACCCCTCTTTGAGGGAGGTCAACCCATCTGAGAGGAGTTACTACTTCAGCCATCTCAAAGCTGCAGACCTGTGGAAGTTACTTCATTCCTTCCCAGATTCTGATTCTTAGCGTTCAAGTATATAAGCAGAGCTTACTTTTTAGGGTACTGGTGACAATTATGCAACACAGAACCCCAAAGATTCAAGATTACCAAAGGACAGTTCAGGGGGGTTAAAACCTCCTCTCCCACCAGAGCCCACTCCAAAATGTAGAACAAACTTTGCTTCAGGAAGAGCCTGTGGTTCTAGAGAGAAATGGTCCAGTCACTTTCTTCAGCAATTCCCTTCTCCAGCTTCAAATTTTTGTTGGAAGGTGATTTGAACTTTGGAGAGTCCAGATCTGGCCTCTCTGTGACTCCAGACCTGGGTTTTAAATCCTAGCCTGGTATCTCGGGCACTGCTGAGAGAAAACGTGGTGGGATGATAATTCAGAAGAAAAGGGAACTTATTCGTGTGGCTCTAACGACAGAGTGTTCCACACAGGAAAGAAGGCAGGTGTGTGGTCTCAGGTCTGGAGGAGCTCAGAGTGCCTGATGGAATCGAGAGGGGGGATCTCTGGGGTTGGAGCAGTGCCAGCAGCTCCCAGGCTGGAGAGGGAGGGAGGCCGCAGCCTGATGGCATTGCTCTTGACGAGAAGGAAGTTTGCTCTGGGTGCAGCTGAGTATATAGTGTTAGAAGTGATAAGGTAAGGAGCAGCACCAGTATAAGAATAAGTGTGGAGCTAAGCACAGAACTGTATATGCAATACTATTATGTGTGTGTGTAGTTTTCTTAGTAGCTGACATGTGTTCCTTCATAACTCCCCTGGATTTGGTCAGTTTCTCATGAGTTCTTCGTTGATGGAGATTCTTTAAGGATGGGGGTCCTTTATGCTGCCAGGTCTCAGATTTAAGCTTGATGTATCTTTGGAAAGCCAGAGTGAGTTCTGAAGGCTGCATCAGTAGAGATGTCTATTTGGATTTTTGTTGATGTTGTTGAGGTAAGGGTACACTGTAGCTGTGGTTGACCTGTATCTCACAGGTAGCCCAGGCTGACCTTGACCTTAGGTGATGCTCTTACCTCAGCTTCCCAAGTGCTGGGATTTCAAGCATGAGATGCCATGGGCAGTCTTCGGGTATGCATGTGTGTGTGTGTGTGTGTGTGTTCACGTTTATAGGCCTGTTCACACGTGTGCACATGCACATTGAGGCAAGACACAAGGTCTCTCATCGGCCCTGAACTCACCAAGAAGTCTAAGCCGCCTGGGCAGTGAGCCCAAGGGATCTACCTGTCACATCCAGCCCTAGCATTGCAAATGCTGGCCACAATAGCCAGCCTGTTATATGTGGATTTCGGGGGATTAAACTCAGGTTCTCATGCTTGCAAGGCAAGCACTTTGCTGGCTGAGCCATCACCCCAACCTGCTGTTTGACTTTCTTTTTTCTTGTTTGTCTCTTTTATGTCTTCACTTATAAGCACTTCTTACCATTGATCTAGTTTTGTGCAAACTTTTTTTGCAGAAGAGTCTAACATTTCCATTTCCGTTTGATCCCACAGACTTGAATATAACCTGCCGCTTTGCAGGTGTATTCCATGTGGAGAAAAATGGCCGCTACAGCATCTCACGGACTGAGGCAGAAGACCTCTGCCAGGCTTTCAACAGCACCCTGCCCACCATGGAGCAGATGCTGAAGGCTCTGGATTCAGGGTTTGAAACTTGCAGGTAAGAGACCAGCACTCTCTCTGGCGACAGTCCACTGGGGAGGGGCAGGGCTTACAGCTGGAAGTCTCCTTCCTGACAGTTGAATGGGTTCTTGCCTAAAGAGGTAGCCCTAACTATTAATTTGACCAAGACAGCCTAATCCGGTATGACAACTGGAATTTCAAATCAGCTTAAGAAGACACCTTGGTGAATCATGCGCTCGCTCGTGGGGGAGGGGAGTCAGGGTCAGCCATTAGGGTCATATCAGTTGCAAGCCTCTTGCCTAATGTGCTCCTGTAGCACTCCTCTGGCTTTGAAGAAACATTCAGCATCATTGTCGGAACCACAAGAAAACGCGAGCCAAATAACAGTGTTTAAAATAAATAGGTAGCTGGCAGAGTCTTGGCTGTGCAGACTTGACACAAGGCACGTTCTTCAAACCCCCCTCTCGGAGCTTTTAGGCTGTCTTCTGTGTTGCTATGATTTGACAACGTAAGTAAAAGGATATGGAAGTTTTAAAGCTAGACTACATTAGAATAAGCTGTTATCAGAAGCCTTGAGACGTTTTCTTCAAGGTACCCAAGGCCCCAGAGGACCTTCCTCAAATCATTTTGTTCCACAATAATCGTAAGAGGCAGGGGTGGCCTATGCATTTTTTTGTTTTTGTGGCCAGTGGCATGTGTGAATGGGATCTTGGTGACGCCCTCAGTCAAGTGGTTGGTGTGGTTTGATTTCACTAGAAGATCTAGGTAATCTTCATATGTGCTCTAAATCCCCACCTCAGTCTCCAGCTTAAGCAGTGTGGTTCTCTTGGCTCTCCAGTGGTCACGCACGTGCACACACATGCAAACAGAATGCTTTTAGAAAGTCTAGCTGCAGCCCTCTTCAAGGAAGCTGTCAAATGGAAGCGAATTTCGTCTATCCCTGGCTCTTAGTACCGACTCAGGCACGTACATCTTGAATGGTCCCTGAGACTCTTGCTCTGTCTAATACAGTAACTATTAACCACACGTGGTGAGTTACATTTAAGTTCATTAAAATTAGGTTATATGAAAATGAATTCTTTGATGGCGCTAGCTATGTTTCACTTACCTGGTAGCTGCCCTATCAAATGTCGCAGATTATATAGAGAACGTTTTCATTGTTTTGAGCAGCGCCAGCTGGACATCTGTCTCGAAGGGTTCAGAGCTAAGTCTAGGAGAATGGTAAAGGATGAATGACAGGTCTGGAGCTACAGAACCTGACCCATGACCTTCGTGAAAGACGGCTGGTTAGCAAAAACCGTCTATTCAAGCCTCAAGGCTATATTTTAAAATGAGGCCCTGATTAGGTCACAGGGCTGAGAAAGTGCTTTCAGAAAGCTGGCCTGATTGTGGAACGCAGTTAAGACGTACTTGTGAAACACAACGACTTCTCATTTGTTGAGAGCCGGAGGAATGAGTACAGAGTCCTGAGCTGATGGGAACATCCTTAAACTTCTCTGTTTATTGGTAAGACTTTTTATAGATGAAGCAACAGAGCCTTAAAGCTTGTCATGGATCACACTGATTGTAGGTAGAGGAGTCTCAGTTTGGTTGTGATCAGTCTGAGTGTAATGACTAAGCCCTCACAAAGGATAAGTAAGGGGGAGGATGCAAGGACTGGCTAAATATGTCTTTTCTCTGTTGGTGGAAGTTTCCTCTCTCAGAGCTGTTTGATCCCAAATACCCAGCAACTGCTTCCCAAATTACCACACAGAGGCTTAGTATTATTTATAAATGTTCGACCAATAGCTCAGGCTTATTGTTATTAACTAGCTCTCACACTTAAAGCTAACCCATATTCCTTACTTACACTCTACCATGTGGTGGTACCTTTTCTCAGGACTATGTGCTCATCTTTCTCTCTGTGTGTCTGCTGGAGTCTCCTGACTCTTTACCCTTCTCCTTCCCATTATCTTTAGTTTGGTTGTTCCGCCTATACTTCCTTCCTGGCTATTGGCCAATCAGCATTTTATTAAACCAGTTTGAGTAACCAATCTTACAGCGTACAAGAGGACTGTCCTCCTTATGGACAGTCACTCATTCACGCCATGTACATGTATAGAAATGCCCCAACTCATGTATAGTACATGCATATAAAACTGTCATGTGGTGAAAATTCACAATAACTCACCAAGAGAATATAAGAATGTATTCAATTCTGGAATATCTATTTTGTATATGTATAATATATGTATGGCATATATATGTATTATTCATACATATTTGTCAATATGATGCAGGAGGGCAGGATGAAGAGTAGTTTCCTTGTGGAGTATTATTTAGAAAAAATATGAAGATAAACTTCTGCTGCAGAAATCTGTCAAATCTGTCATTGTATCCATACTGGTATTAAGTGTTTCAAAACTCAATTTCATAATTTCCCTCAGGTAGCTATGGAATCAGATATCTGCCAAAAATCAGAAGGCATAGTCTCACAGGCTGGGACAAAGCCTCAGCAGGGACTTCTGTCTTGTCTGCCCCACCCTGATTAGGGACAACGCTCAGGTCCATGAGAATTTCTTGCTATTTAATTGTGTGCCCTCCCACCTCCAGGCTAAGAAGACTTTGGGGAAATCAGCCTGTAGGTTTGGAAGAGGAATTCGTCATTCAGCTCCCATTGCAACACCGACATAATGAGAGACTTTGAGCTTAGGAGCTTCCAAGTCACTCTCATTTCCATGTGTCTTGCTGGGTGCTGCAGGCTGTGCTGTTGCCCAAACAGTAGGAGTTAAAAGAAGGCTCATTTTAGCTTGCATTGTACTTCTCACACCCTGCCAAATTTAGCATCTCCCTCTTTGTTCTTTTGCCGTCACCCCACCTCTTTCCTCTTGAGCAGCATTTTCTCCACCCACATGCCATGTTTTGAGGCATTTCGTGTTCATGTTAGATGGCCACTGGGATGGTGGTGACGTGCACTATGTCTGAAGAGGCCTCCAGCCCCAGCAGACTCCCAGAAACACCCAGATAGGTGTAGGAGCGGATGGTGTGTGGCTTGAAGAACTTTGTTAAGTGACCCACTGTCATTTGCTGCCCTAATTGCTACTCCTCTCGGTTCAGTGATGGCCAATTTGTCTCCACAGGTCTGGGTGGCTCACAAAGTCAGCACAGGAGCCAGGCTTCATGTTGGCCATAGTAAGGAGTGAGGGGCTCAAGGGAGAAGCGGAGGACAAGAAAGGAGGGACAAAATAAGACAGCTCTAGATTTGCAGACTGAAAGGAGGACCAACCCACTTGCCACCTTAGGGGATTGACTCATTTTATGTCATTTTTGGAAAGTATAAAGTTAATTCACCGTCAAATCTCCTAGTGTAGTTTTTTCTTCTGGAACCCAGGCTTCCTGATGCCTTTAATAACATTGCTGGCCATAAATTTTATATGGAGCGATTTTGTTTATTCATGAATCTTTTTGGTTAAAAACAAGAATGATCAAAGTTCCCAGTTTTTTAAATGAACTCTCTTTGCCTCTGTCAGCTTTGACCATCTTTACTTTCCTGTGCTGGTGATTTTGGATTTTATGGAACTCGGTTATTTGGACCCTTAGCATCCTTGGGGTTAATACGTGGAGGTGTTGTGCACATTAAATGTCATTTGATGGGATATTATGAAATGAGATCCTGGCCATGCAGGTTAATAATTTCATGTTTTTCCTTGGCAGGTATGGATTCATACAAGACAATGTGGTGATCCCGAGGATCACCCCCAATGCCATCTGCGCAGCTAACAACACAGGAGTGTATATCCTCCAGTCCAATACTTCCCACTACGACACATATTGCTTCAATGCCTCAGGTGGGTTCTAAGTGCATGGTCTTTGGGCTGCCTGTGGGAGCATGGTTGGCTGACTGTAGTTCAGTCAAAGCATGGGTGGAGCTTCCTGAAACTTCCACTAAAAAGGAGTCTCTACAACAGAAGGAAGAGCTAGACTCTAGTATCCATGGTACTAACATGCCAGGCTTGGGAAGCTGATGATAAATAATTAAATATCAATTCTTTGACACAAGGTTGGAGAGTGCTAAAGAAAAAAGACACCATAGGAAGGCCCAAACTCAGGGGATGCTTGTCATTTGAGAGGTGAACAGGGAGGGCACATCCGAAGAAGTGCTTTGGAGAGCCACAGTCAAGGGAGTGGAGCTCTTGGCAGATGAGAAGGCCATGTGATGTGGGCACAAGAGCGTCTTAACTCCACTGAACAAATACCAGGGAATACAAGGTGGCATAAGCCCAGTCAGAGGATAGAGCTACAGGTAAAGAAGTTATACAGGTTTAGCAGAGGGGTGACCAGCGCCTCCAGTGGGTTGAGAATTCGAAGCAATTTCTGCAGAAAAGTGGTGCCCATCTATTGATCATTTAGAGGTGCAAGCTAAATGACTGAGAATATTATTATAAATGGAGCTAGTGAAAAAGCAAAGAGGATATGATAGCATTGGCCTTCTTGAAAAGGTTCCTTACTCAGTGATTGAGGCCACCAGGAGTAAGAAAGCTAAATGAAAACCAAGATGCTGGGCTCCCTCCTTTGTCTATGAAAACTTTCCCAGCCGTGAGCTTAGAAGTCATGCTTACAAGTCTGTTCAAGCCATCACACACACACACACACACACACACACACACACACACACACACACAATCAAAGAATTCTGTGCACTATACATTATTCAAAGTCTTTTGAGACGAACTGAAACCATAAATGCCAACCATCAAAAGTCTCAGTTTTCAAACTGTATCTTCTAGTTCTCTGAAGGTTGAAACTATATGTTAGGGAAGGAAAAACTTTGAGGTGAATTTGTCATATCTTCCAGGACTGTAAATTTTCCTCAGACATCGAAGGAAGATGTTAAAAGGGCTGGAAAGTGGCTAGAACGTTACCCCCATAAGACCATAGCTGGTATAACACCATGGGGGGGGTATAAAAACTGTGTGGGCTTTTAAGGTAACGGGGCATGGAGGGCAGTGGGAGATTACATCAGTGTCCTTAGACTGCCAGTGTGCCCGTGCCACCTACCCATTGTTTCACAAGCACTGAGGAACAATCTAGAGTTTGGGGGAAGGAGGTGTGTTGAAGCCAAGTAATTGAAATACAGTATATGAACCCAGTGAATTTTTCCAAGTACATATGGGACATGGATACACACACAAGACATGGCGAAAAATCACAGCAAGTCTACCTCTCTCTATCCTATGAACAAAGAACACACATGGAGTTGGATCAAAATGAGGAAGTGCGCCTGAAACTACACAGGTCTGTCCCCTGTGTACGGATGAATGTAAAGTAATGAACCAAATGTAGTGTAATGATCCCCAAGCTCAGATGGGTAAATAGGAAGTAGGCAAAGAGTGTCCTGGCTTAACTTCTTCCATCTTTGTACAAGGGGTCAGAAATGAAGGGGTTGAACGGGTGGCAACAATGCAGTTTGGGGGGATCCCGCCTGCTCCTCCCAGTCTTTAGGTTCTGTTTTTGCTTCTCCTGCTGAAGCCTGTTCCGTGAAAGTACCCAGTAAATCACAGGACTGTGTTCCCACACTGCCTCGGCTGGTTTACAAGCTGGTGTCACTTTGAGTTAAGGGTCTACGAAATTTAATTGAAACAGGCAAAAGCACATACTGTTTTATGGTCAGGAATCAAAACGATCCAGGCAAACAGCTACTGCAGCTTTCTTTCTGTCCTTCATGGTACCCCCAAATTTGGGTCCATCTCCAGCACAGGAATCTCCAGTGCTGATGAACTCTCTTCTTCTTAGAGAAGCAGGCGTTAGTTCAGTCAAAAACCGGGAGCAGTACCAACGCTCTGCTTCCTCCCCAAATGACTGTGTTAGAAGCAGTAAAGTTTAAAAATAATACTACGTTTCATTTTTTATCTATTTTCCACATGGATTCCGTGTTGATAAGCTTTAATGCTTTTTCTTTAAGTTCAAAGACAATAAATATTTATTAATAGTATCTACACACCTACACACTATTGTGCTAAGTAAATAGGGGCAAGAAATAACCAAAAAGTGTGTTTCTTGTCTTAAAGGAATTAGCAATCTTCTTGAAGTGGTAAGACAGAAAATGCAGAAAGGGAGGCAAGAATAAATGTGGCTGAGGTTGAGTATTGTCAACATCATGGATGTCAGGAAGTGAAGATCCTGGCAGCTTCCAGTGTGCTGCCAAGAACATCTTGGAAAGAATCTTAGATTATACCTAGCTCAGGACGGCAACCTGGAGGTCCCAGGGGTGGGAGCCCGTCCACTAGCAACAGGGAGAAGAGACAGCAATACCATAGCAGGTAACTTCTACAAACTTAAACCCCATACTTCTGTGACCCCCCCCCCCCCAGTTAAAAGCACGGCAAACCCCAGGAAAATGTTGTGTGATTTTTTTTCTTGCCCTCTCTCAGTATCTAAGACCCAACATAAATGAGTCTGGTGACTTCTGCGGAGGGGACAAAGATGACTGACTCAAGCCCATCTTTTAAAGCTTGATTCAGTAAGATGCCTCATCCTCCTCTTAGGGCAGAGATAAGGAGCAGATTTTACATTCGTGATTTGTCCATTCACTCATTTATTTGAGAGCTGTTTGGAAGATTTACTCACGGAACACCTATAAGGTACCAACCCTAGAGGAAGCGCCCTTCCTGTCGGCATCCAGAGACTGACACCTAGACTAAATAATTACTATCTTAGTCCTTGGGAGCCAGCAGAGCCAAGCTTTCTAAGAATACAGCCTCGGGGAAGCCCAACTTAGAATTTCTTTAACAAGTCCCTGTGCTGGGGACACTCCCAGCAGTGCATTGCTTAAGAGACTGAAGCTCCATCTAATGAGGTCACGTGAGTGGCGTGGGCAGGAATACGTTAACTGCAAATTTGGGTCACCATGCATCTTGGCATCCTGGACAGACTGAATTTCTGTATGAAATTTGAGGTGAAATGGAGCATGAAGAGGTTCCATGGGAACACATTCTCATCATTGACAGATTAGACTCAGTGTTGTTGACATGCTCAGCTCATTACAACTTCGCTTCCAGACACTCACAGGCCCCACTCCTGAGGATGCTCCGCATCCAAATACCAGAAGCATCTCACAGATTGGCTCAGCCTAAGACAAAGAAAATAGGCACTCCCCCCCCAAATTTCTCCAGTAGCTGCATTTTCAAATAAGAGTGTTTTGAAGAATGTGAAATATAGAGGTAGAGAAATAAGTGTGATGACCTTGTAAATTCATTAGATCAGGGATAGAAGCAGGCTCATCTTTTGTCTGCTTTCTTCTTCTCTCACTTGGCCTGCAAATGCTAAGTGATCCTTAGAAAAAAATCAGTTAACACTCTAATAACTACTCAGGGCATCCCTCTTCAGGCTTATCCACAGGATTCTATGCCTGTTGATATCTGTGAACCATTTCAGGAGACAGCATCTTTGGGGTGCTTTCTGGGAGAACTGGGACCTTTCCTCCCCTTTTCTCTCATCTGACAAATAGATGCTAAGTGTCTCTCTTTTCTCATGCAATGTTCTGGGCCAAGCAGACGAACTTACCACTCATTTAGTAGAGCCCATGCATCTTTGTGGCAGGGTGGGAAGCAGGAGGTGGGTGGCGTGAGGTTCATATGAGAGTAACATGCGCGAGAGAATTTTAGATCATAGTGCACATGAAGAAGAAACAAAAAGGTGACACGTGATGGTGACAGGTTTGGGGAAGGGATGGAGCACTGACTTCACCATTGGTGACTTTCTCATTGAAAGGTTCCCTTTGTGAACTTTTCATAGCAACTTTTACAAGAATACTTTCCATAAAACATGCTCTCCTCCTGCTGTCGACAGCTGACAGCAGCTTTTGCTTTCAAAGAACTGACTGGAAAAAACAAGCAAGCAAGCAAGCAAACAAATAAACAATAAACAACCAGTCTCTTTATATTTGGCAAAAGGTGTTTCTAGTAACTTAGAAGCAGCCACTACCTGCTTGCCCAATTTCTGTTTCTGCCTGTGTCATGAGTGGGCAACAGTATATGACAGGGAACTTGAAAATGCTTGACACCTGCCTTCCTTGTGACCCCTGTCTGCCCGTTTTCTGCTACCCTGTCCCTTCAACACACCCACCCATCAATCTCTTTCTTCTTTTCTCTTTGCCAGAAAGCAGCTCTAGGGGAAAGCACGCCAAGAAAGTGTCATCTAACGCCGAAGTGGCCATGGTCACCATAAAAGCTGTTGTGCAGCTGGGTGTGAGGGCGGCACTTTTGTAACCCCGGCACTTAAGAGGTTCAGGCAGGATTATGAGAGTAAGAGCAGCCTGCGTCTCAGAAAAACAAACAGAGCGGGTAGCCCTACAGTACACAAGTGGAACCAACCTTTACGTGAAAGCAATGCCACTTTATAGCTCCCCGCAGTTCAAAAGCTTCATACCCACTAATAAAACATCTGGGCACGACTGGGGTGGTGGTTAAATTGCTGTTGTCTGTGTCTAAGATTTAAGGGATAACACACAAATCAGGAATTATTGGTCCTGACTTCTGAGGGTGTTAAGCAATACTGTCCAGAAAGCGCCTAGAAACACCTAGGGTTGACCAGTTAGCCCAAGTCATGGCATGGAATCCTAAAGGAGTGGGAGTAAAAGATAAATGGAAGACAGGAAAAAAGAAGCCAAATGATAAATGCCAAGACAGCGTGGGTGCCCATGCCAAAGGTGGCTAGCCCTAGCTGTGAAGCCCTGAGTATGGAGGTGGCACTCACAAATACCAGCCAAATTAATGAAGCCATTAATTAATCCTGTAATAAGTGACTGGGGATTTGTTGGTTACTAAATATTTTGGTTATCAGGTAAATTCATTAGTTATGTTGTTTTAACTAGCATATCTATTTATAACATATTGAGTATCTTCATAGTCTTCTGGTAGTCTTGTCAATCCTGTGTGTTCACTACAGTTCCCAGCATCCCATTGATATCTAGGATTACAAATGATTTTCCATGATAGTCTGCACCTATTTTTATTATAGCTTTAGTCACAATGATTACACAAATCTTTTTCCACTGAAAAGAGATTTAGAATCCTCTTTAATTGTATGCTTAATTGGAGAAGGGCCATGTCTGTCTTATTACTAATTAAACGTGAAACATCAGGCTCGTCACTGTGCCAGGTATATGCATGTCTCCCACTGTCCTTGGATAACCCAGTCTCTTTTCCCCAACTCCGGGTACAGATGTCAGCACATTTGCCCTAGAACACATGTGCTTCTTAGTGAGTGATGTTACCGGGTGGGAATAGTAAATTTTTGACACAAAATAAGATTGTAAAATCACATCAAAAAGGGTCGAGAAGTTCCTCATAGATTTATCAAGTTTCAGGAAAAATTATTTAGGACAAACTCTATTCTAACTGAGTAATAGGACATATTAGCTGTGAGAAGTTTTTTAAATTATTAATTTTTATTTCATGTTTTTTTTGTTCTTCCCCATAGCGCCCCTTGAACAAGACTGTACATCTGTCACAGATCTGCCCAATTCCTTCGATGGACCGGTGACCATAAGTACGTATCTCTTCTAGTTTGGGGTGATTTGTCTCATTCTTGGGAGAGGTGTGTTCATCTACTACTGTTAATATCCAAATAGGCTATTAAGTTGTTTCCCTAAGGGGATAATGGCTGTGATCAACACCCCATTCCCCTTTCTCATGATGCCTTGAAACTGTTCTGATTTACCCTATGCCCCACTCCTGAAACATCAGTCATCTGAAAACCACTGTTGCACACTGAGACCCCGTCTGTGTACTCCACAGCGCCACTGTCTACTTGATCTTTCTCTTCTACATAGAATACATTTGTTTTCCAAAGAAATTGCAAATAGAGAACTAACACCATTTGCCATAAGTTTTTTTTAAATTTATTTATTTATTAAGGATTTCTGCCTCCTCCCTGCAACCGCTTCCCATTTCCCTCCCCCTCCCCCGATCAAGTCCCCCTCCCTCATCTGCTCGAAGAGCAGTCAGGTGCCATAAGTTAAAGGTAACCTTAAAAATCAGCTTAAGTGCAAGACAAGGTAAATGGTAGTTTTTAACTTCAAGCTGTCGGAGACTGGGTACCTGAGCTGTGCTCTGATAACAGAGAAGGTTAGGCAGTTTGAGGGATGGAGACACCCACATGGGAATTCTCTTGCTGACATAACTAAAGAACTTGATCATGAAGGCCACAGCTTCCTGGTATGTGTTTCAATATCATTTGTACCACAGCCACCTCAGAAAATCTGTAGACAATTGTGTGGACCAATTTAGAAGATGGAAAACACTCACCAGAACTTCCCAACCGGTTAACTTGGAAACCCTAGTACCTTCACTTCTTTTCTCACTGGAAAGAAGAACAGTGTTGAAAAAGGTTTATTTCTGCTCCCTTGGGCCCAGACCGTAGCAGGGTGTGTGGACACGGTGGTAGTAGTAGTGGGAGGAGCTCTCCCTAGACTGTGGAAATCCAGCCTCTCCCTTGGTCTGTGCCCTGTATCAGTCAGAGGATGCTTCCCATCCCAACAGCTCCATATGATATTAGAGCGACAACCTTTCCTGAGCTTCAGTTTTCTCTTAGGCATAAGATACATCATGTAAGAATTATCATGCAACTCAAATGTGTCTCATGTGTGCCTGGCCCATACCAGATGTTTAAGAAATGCCCAGTTCCACAGTTCCTGAAAATTTCCTTCAAAGTCCAGACTTTTATAATTTTGGTCAATACCATGGTTTGAATATGTCCATTCCAAGTGTTCATGTATGGAAACATACCTCCCAATTTTACACATTTATAGTGATTGGGGTTGAGATCTTTGAGAAGTGATTGGTATTGGATGAGTAGAGAAGGGGAGGCCTGATGACATTGGTAGCTTTATAAGGTGATGAGGAGAAGAAGCAGGCTTGCTTGCTATCTTGTCACATGACGCGCTCTGCCATACCATGGCAGACAATAAGAAAACCCTCAGCAGATCCCAAGCAGACACTGTGGTGGTGTTCTTGAACTTCTCAGCCTAGACTGAGCTTAAGCAAAATAAGCCTCATTCTTCATAAATTATCTGGTGGTCAGAAAGATGCCTCCATGTTGAGAGCACTAACTGCTTTCGCACAGAATTGGGTTCAGTTCCCAGCCCCAACAGGGTTGTCACAGATGCCTGCAACTTCAGTTCAAGATCAAACTCCCTCTTCTAGCCTGTGTGGGCTCCAGCACACATGGTACACTAAGCTCACACAGGTGCACACACGCAAATATTAAATAAGTTATACGTTTTTTAAAAGTAAGGCAATATACATTGTCTTAGCTTGAAGTTGAGCAGAAGAATGCAGCCCTTCGCAGTCAATCATCTCAGATCTTTTTCTGAAGTCACTGTCACGGTGATTGAGACCTTTGAAAGTTTTTTCCAAAACTTGTTTTACTAATAGTTTTATTTAAGCAAGTTAGACAAGTGAAAAATAAGGAACCACCTATGCCATTCAGCAGAAAATATTCCCAGAGAATACACACTTGTAGCCTTGTATAGCAAATGATTGAGGCTCAAAGCAAAATAAAAAATACATTTTAAGGATGGATAAAAAATTAATTTGTACTTTTTCTCCTCTGGTTTATTCTGGTCAATTGTTTATTAAACCAAAGATGTGTGTGTGTGTGTGTGTGTGTGTGTGTGTGTGTGTGTGTGTGTGTATTTGCCAATTTTAAGATTGAATTTCCTGGAGTATGGTTGACTCTCTGGTAATATTTACACAAATCAGTTTTCTACCCAGAAATAGGGGTTTGCGTAAACTGGCAAAAATTACCCCTTAGAAAGAATCTTTCTAATGGATTACAAATTTATCTTCTTTGTGGAGGCCATACAACTCTATTTCAGATCCTTTCTGGAGATGGATTGGATTAATAGCAACACAATTTATACATATTTCAGAAGAAACTGTAAAGGGCGGGGGAGGTGTCGTGGATTGAGCCTCCAGTTATTTTAACTACTATGCTGGACACTAATCATGACCCCATCCAGAAGGCAGTGCCATTCCTTTACGAGTAAGGAAACCAAAGCTCCCGGGTTACCTTGTCTAGAGATATCCAAAGCTCAGATTCAAGTGTGGGGACTCCCTAGCACCTCAGCTTTCTCTGCCTCATCTCCATCTCATCCACTGTCTCTCAGCACTAGACAGACAGATGTTCTTAAAGCAAGTGAAGGTAGCCTCAAAGTCATGTCACATGACAACCCACTGTCTTTCCTCTACTCAAGATCTATTTGCTGTGAGGTTCTGAAGGTGCCCTCTGTCTCCCCTTAGATATTGTCAACCGTGATGGCACCCGCTACAGCAAGACGGGAGAGTATAGGACACACCAAGAAGACATCGACGCCTCAAATACTATTGATGTTGATGTCAGTAGCGGATCTTCCAGTGAGAAGAGCACCTCAGAAGGCTACATTTTCCACACCTTCCTTCCCACTGAACACGCAATTGGAGATGAGGATGAATCCTACTTCACCAGGAGCACCCCGAGCACCAGTAAGGAGAAGGGAATCACCGTGTTTTTCCGATAGCAACTCTTTGGCGAATGCCAATGGCCCTCCTGAGTGATGCACACCCAGGTGTTTTCTGCTGTCCCTGGGCATCAAGGGTCGGGTCCCTGTGCCTGTCCATGCTCCTGGTCGGTGTGCATTGACTCCTGCTCTTCACATTTCCTCCATCTTTGCTTCTGTTCCTCTTAGTTTGGGATAAGGTGTGCCATTCTGGAATGGTTTCCTCAGGGAGGTGCCTCTTTTCTCTTGTTGCTGATGACTGGGCATTGCCTGAGACCTCTTACAGAAAAAATATTTGCTGTTGCTTGGTTCATTCTTGTTGCTTTTCACTATACATAAGGCTATTCTTTTAAAGTTACGGCTGCAGAGTGTACACAGTATCCCAAGAGCTCCTTCTACAGCCCTGCCTGAAAACCCTATCTATTAATCTGATTCATTTTCAAGGTTCTGATATTGTACTACCCAGTCATAGTCCTCAACCATAATATTCTAAACCATTCCTGTGTTTTGGTCCAAGGAACAAATGTGAAGGGTTTTCTTTTTACAAGCATAATATTTTTATTGATTATTTGGGAATTTCATACAATATACATAACGCTCACTTCCCAGTCCTCCTAGGTCCATCCCCCACCCTTCTGACCTCCCCTCAAAAAAGAAGAAAAACAACAACAACAATAACAAAAGAAAGAACAAATATATCAAAAGTAATTTGTGTTGCCCATATATTCTCTGGAGCATGGTCAAACTCACAGTGGTGTGAGGGGTTTCTGAGTGCCTTTGCCAGCTGTAGTGCTCTAGAGTGTACTCTGTTAGGGAATATTCCAGTGCTCTTTGGGTGTGTGGCTAGGGGACTTTGGGTTTGTGCAGCTGGGCTCTGTTGGAAAGGTGCTCAGAGCTCCTTATCTCCTCCATTTCCCTCTCTGTACTTCCCTGTTGTTTGTTTAGAATGGGGTTTCAGTTGACTGGGCTCCTTCTGTGGAGGACTATTCAAACCAAAAAGGGCAGCTAAGTCTTCACTGGGTATCCTAGTATGGTGTGCATTTTCTCATTTCCTGGCTGCAACTCGCAAGGGGTGGAACTCTGGCTTCTTCCCAGTTTGGCAGGAGTTTACTGGCATGTGAGTATTCAAGATAGGGCCCTTTTTAATCCCCAAGTCACTCAGAAGTCAGAGGAGAGCCTCCTGAGCACTCCGATGGAAATTAGCAATGTTTTCAATTTCTGTTATCAGGTTGCTGAGTGAGAGGAATGGGGGGTGTGAACAGGTGCAGAATTCCATTCATTCTCAGGAAATTGTTTGAAGTCTGTCCAAAAAATCCTCCATCAGATTCTGGGGTCTTAGAGATGCTCAGTGTGTAAAGTGCTTGCCTTGCCAGCATGAAGACCTGGGTGTTTTGATCCCCTCATCCACAGAAATACTTGAGCTTGACAGTTCAAACGAGTGAGCTGCAGGTTCAGGGAGAGCTTCTATGTCAAAAAGTATGACAGGAAACAACCTCTGACCTCCACACATGGACAAGTACTCAAGGCATATCTTTTCACGCATCCAACACCCTCCCAGGTCATTTCTTCTCTATGGTAGCTAAAATTAGAGGATGATAGCAAAGAGAAACCAGGGTGTGTGAAGTTTTCATCCACTCACTCCAGACTGTGTGGCTTCTCTGGTCCAGACACCCCTCTAGTTTATGGGGGTCAGAGGTGGATCCACCTCCCTGGATACAACATCCTAACTCGGAAATCGAAGGAAAGGAGTGTGTGAGATTTAACAAAAGCACAGATACAGACTTCGAGGGAAAGGAGAATTTTGCTTTCTTTTTTAACAGAGCACGCAACTTAGTTCCTTTTAATAGGCAAGGAAGAGGGGCTAATTCCTCCACCAGGGTAGGGGTACTTGGACATAGCATGTGGTACGACAGAGTTGGCATGGAGAAACCTTCTGAGTAGCATCCTGCTTTTTGAGTCCAAAGAGGAGCGTCCCAGGAGCTCAATTATCACTGTTGGGTGGAGGGTTGAAACCTAGTGAGAGGGAGTGGACACAGATTAGCGTGCAGGGGAGCAGAGGTCAAGAGCTAGACTGGCTGAGGACATGGAAGAAGCCATGTTTGGCTTAGCCAGACTAGCTCATTCCTTTCTCAAGGGTGCTCAGTGGGTGGCAACAGGGAGAACTAGCAGGAACAACAGGCTCTTTCGACTTGGAGTTTCCCACTGACTGATAATTATAAATATTATTTTTGGAAGAGTCTGACTGGGGGTGTGTCATCAGTCCTTTCTTATTGGCCTTCTGGAATTCTCTGGAATCAAGAAGCCTAAACTAATTTAGGAAATAGGCTCTTGCCTTGGAAAGCTCCACTTCCTGTCTTCTGGGTGTCAAATGAATAATTTGTTTTCTGTCTCGCATGACCTTACTTGGGAGGGGCAAATCAGAAACTGATGGCTAGGCTGACATTTTTTTCACTGTCTCCTCTCACACAACTCCATTTAGGAAGAGAGAAAGGATGCCCATGTGTCTCCTGCATGTCCATTTCTTGTTAGCTCTTTTTTCTGGGGTACTTCAGGGTGAGCGACGAAACTAAGCATCTTTAGTGCAATATCCAATAATGGGGAGTCTGTAGACTCTTGTGGGTATCTTACTGGGCCATTGTGAATAACTTCTATCTCTGCTCTCACTAATGTGATCTTTGACACTCATTGTGTGTGATGTCTCAGGTCTGAAATAGAGTTCACATGATAAGCAGTGGGTTCTCCATGGTAACCAAAAACTACCTGCAGTCTGAGAAGACCAAAGGTTTTCGGAGAACTGTTTGATTTAAAACATTTTCTTTTTAAAGCTAGAGCTGATTCAGATATTTATCTCAATGAAATTTGCCATCTTGTTTCTATGGAGGAACATTCTGGAAACAGTCCAACTTGAAAGTCAGATAAAAGATTGTTTTTTAATTAATAAATGTTTTTATTAACCTTTCTCTAACTTGAATAGAGTTCAGTGATTCTTTGCTTTTATCAGCTCTATGTAGGAAAGTAATAGATACTGGAGAAAATTTCATCTAGTGACAACATTTGAAATTTGCATTGTCTCCAAAATTCTTGCCCAACGATAAAGTTTAACTTGTGTTTGATGAGTGTTGGTGGAGGCAGATGTCACAGACTACCTGGGCACGACGTTGAACAGACAGAAAAGATGCAGATGTCCTCAAAGACCTTCCAAAGATGAAGTCCTTGTAAGCTACGCTGCACGGAAGACCTCCAGATCATGTTTGAATGACAGATGCCATCAGGAGAAGAACAAATCTCTGCCCATTGCTGTTAGTTTGCTGCTTCAGATCTCTCCGGTCATGACTTGAGGCGTTGGCATAGAAGACTTAGAAGCATTGAAGCAATGTTCGAATCTGCTGTTTGGGGCCCTACAAGCATGGGAGATGTTAGAGGCTGGAAAGATAAAAGTGGGGCTTGACTTCGCTTTTAAAATCCTCATTCTGTAATAAATAGAAATATTCTCAGAGAGTACAGGTTTTATAGAGGACAGGGGAATCTCACTAAATGATATTTTCATAATTAATCTAGTTACCTCAACTGTGCACTCAAACAGCCATGCAGCAACTCAGAAACAAAATAACTGGATGTGGTTTTGGTTTGGTAATTCACAATCCACGACACAGACTAAGGAGCCCACAGCATCAACTGCAGGTAAACTCTCGTATCTTTTGCTTGTCACCTTTCTTCAGTGGGGTGTTAGAGATGGGTGTTCATTATCATGGAGAGACAGCATTCGTGCTGGCATCAGATTCTGATGCCATTCAGTGGCCTCAGAGACCTGTGGATCCAGTGTCTCCTAAATGCCCTGCTTTCATTTTGGCAACATGAACACAGAGGCAGATGATTTTTTTCCCTTTGACTATGACTCATTCAGAAGGTGACCTCTAGAAAGACATCAACTGACCAAACAATCGTATTAATAAGAGAGAAGGACTAGTTCACGAATAGGAAGCATGGAGTTTTTTTTTCATTTCTTTGGACACTGAAAACCTTTTATAAAAGTTTTAAGAATGACAATGACCTGTTGCTTTATAACAGGTAGAGGTCACAAGTAAGCTCTGGGAGCATTTGGTCATTAGCTCTCAGTTATTTTGACTTGGCAGCTTTGCCTGGAGAGTTGGGAAGGGAATCAGCCTAAAAAATGGGAGGTAATAAGGATTTCTTCATTTATTAACTTGTATCGACAGGTAATTTCTGAATAGGCATTCTCTCTGCAGACAGGGTGTCATAAGGGAAAGTGGCCTTAGACATTTGCTCTCCTTGTAAGGCTGTGATAAACTATATCCTTCCTCTACAAACCATCATGTAAGGGAACTCTGCTGATGTTCTGCTGTGGTTAGCACACCACAGCGATTAATGCCATGCTGAGGTGGGTGCAGGGAAGAGATGGCAGAATAAGGAAATGTTGTTTGTTATCCTGACATGCATGATACACCTTCAGAGGACAAATAGCGTGAATGAAAGGGCTCTGCAGCTCTCTTGGATTGCTTCTCAGCTCTCTTGATAGCTGGCAAAAAGAATTTCATTGGTTGTTGTATTCGGAAACTTACTGATGGCTTCAGCTTTCTCTGCTTAAACTTATCCTGGTTTTGTGGGTTTCCTATTACTTCCATGTACATCACTAATGACATAATTGGCAGCCTTTGGGAGTGTTCATATCAAGACTTGCTTTGGTACTGGTGGAGTCATTGGGTCCCTTCATTTCTTCCTGTTTTTCTTGGTACATTATACTATTTTTAAAAAATGATACTCAAAATGGACTGCTCTTTTCTGCAAAGTAGTGTGTGGACATGAAAATGATTGTAGGGAATGTCTATAGGGTATGTGCACCCCCTTGGGAAACAGTGGGAAGACATCTTCTTCTGTGTCCCCCTTCCTGTTCTGTTCTCACTTGCATTTGGGATTCACGGGATTATATGCCTGTGACTTCCGGCAGAATATCATACCCTAAACTCCTGGGGATGATATTGGTTGGCCACCTTCAATTGTGAAGAACATCAAAGGGCTTGGGTTCCTAAGAGCTGACCACTAAAATCACAACGGTTCAGATTTGGAAAGGATCTTAAATTGTTTAGTTCAATCTTAAATTATTTAAAATATCATCTGATAGTTTAATTCTAGTTTTTAAAAGAGCGTTTTATATCTGAAATTCTCACCACTGGTTTTAACTTGGCCTCATGGGGAAGGAGACAAATATTCAATCCTTTTTGAAGTTCTCATGTAATTTTTGAAACGTCTCCATTGCCAACTGGACTTCAGACAAGTATCTAGCACTGGCTTTTCATCTTAGATGAAAGTGTTGACCACTTGGTGTTTAAGGTTCCTTCACCTCTGGCGTTCTGTGGACTTCAGTTTGGGCTTCTGAAAGAAATGGAACTTCTTTTCTTCTTTCCTTTCTTCCTACTACCTGTGTCAAGATAGGGAGAGAGTGAGAGCATTTACCATGCTATTTCTTCGGAACTGATAATTAACCTTTCAACAATCAATTTAATCATGGTTACAACAGCCTTGATGACCACCCCTGACACACCGCCCACGAGGCAAGAAGCCCAGGACTGGTTTTCATGGTTTTTTCAACCATCAGAGTCCAAGAGTCATCTTCATACAACAACGAAGATGCCTGGTAATGAGACAGAGATACCGTATATCATATGCCTGTTTGACAGCCCTTAATAATTCTCATTAACCCATGGGACATGGTTCAAGTCTAAATGTCATTCTGTCCTAAAAATGTTTGTGTCAATTTAGGAAGGATTGTGAACTCTGATATCTTTATGCTTGTTTTTAATATTACTAATACATGGTTTCTTCTCTATACTTTATAGGAATCAATATAGCCTAGGATAAAGTTAATTAGGAAATTACGAAGTGGGGCGAGATGCTGGTGATAACAGAACATTCCAACTCTAAAAGAGTGTTTGGGAATATCCTCAAGTTAGCAAAGTCAAAACTTTTTATAAGGATATAAAAAACATAGGCAAAACTACCAACATATAGATTTCTATCAATTGATTTAATCTTGGGTTGGACACCAATAATAAGAAAACCAAATGGTGATCCCATTAGATAGCCTGAATTGCATTCAGAAGTTAGAAGAGCACTTTTTAATAAAAAAGACACCTTTTCAGTAACTGCTGAGAAGAGGTCTAAGGTTTCCATTTTCTTTTTAAAAGCAGCATCCAAAATTGAAAGTGAGAAATTCTCAAACTCTGGGCTGGGGTCCACTGTCATCAACCTCTTTGAACCTTTTTGATTGAATAATAAATGGCAAGAACACTTCTGCTAATTGACCTTTTTCCTCTATGGGAATTTTTATTGAGGATGAACAGTGTTTCTTCTATTTGCATTAGAGACACAGGTGAAAGATAAAGACTGAGAAACTGCATGTAGCTTTCTAGAAATGTCAAAATGAAGCCCTTACTTCATATAACCAATGAACCTGATAAGAAGTAAGACTAGAAGAATGAATTTTAAAATGAATTTAAAATATATGATTGTAGCTATGTAATAGAGATGACATTGGAGTATTAATGCAGGTGTCTTGGCAGAGCAAATAGGGATATATAAAAACCATCCTATTCTTGTCCTGACTCTTTAGTTTTAATTGAATATTCTAAAGATGTAATAAGAAAGACATCTGAAAGCAAGGGGAATTTGCTTGGGCCTATGTTTTGTTGTATTTTTCTCTAACTTCTCAGGTAGGCTCTGCCCGTAGTTATTCTTAGCCTCCTTAAAGAATATTGAGTTGTAAAAATTATAGCCAATTGTTTTAAGGTCCATGTATTAGCTTCAGAGATGAGGGCTTACAGATATACAAACCTACTCTTTCATTTTCTTCTTAAAATCTTGGGAACTCCATAAATACCACCCATGCCTGACTTTCCTCCTTGGTAAAATGGGTTGCTTGGTAGCCAGCTCAACTACTAATGTAAGTCACCACAACAGGTACGGAATCAAATACCAACCCCACAGGCTGGGAGCCAAAGGAGGAAAATGAAGATGGCACAGACAAATACCCCAGTTTTTCTGGATCAGGCATTGATGATGATGAAGATTTTATCTCCAGCACCAGTAAGAACAATCAATTACAGTAGAACCATTCGTGCAAGGCTTGCTGAGGGACCTACATGATGTGGTATCTCTCTTGGGAAACGGATGATGTGAACCTGTGATTTTACCTCAGTTCCATTCTGATGAGATTTTGGAGGAGGAAATAAAATTTTGTGAATAGAAACCAAAACATATTGCTGAGAAAAATAGCTCCTGAAGCTTCAGACATTTCTCCCTGTTCTGTTTGTCCATGTCTTCTCTTATAGAATATCTGCATTCTCAAGTATAGCTAGAGAATGGCATATTAAAATGCCACAGCTAATACTCACTGTGTCCCTGCTGTGCCAGACGATGGACGCACAGGGAATAAAGGCCAGAACTTGTGCCTACAGGAGGCTGGTGGACTACTGGGACAGATGTTAATGTGACTTGGAGGATAGGGATGAAAAGTTACACATGACCCTGGACTGAAAGCTTAGGAGGCCCTAGAATGACTTAAAACATAGAAGCCAGAGCTCAAAAACGTCCTTAATTAATAAAAAAATGGTTGCAATTAAAGGGAAAATTTTAAAAAGTTTCAACCAACTTTTTGGACACCAATATAACAGAACGACAGTAGAAGGAAGACTAACTACCAGCTAAGCTTTTAAAAAGGCATTGATAATTAGCAAAAGCAGAGAGTGGCACCACTATGTAATCATGTGCAAATCTGTGAGCTCTATAAAACTTCCTAAGGACCCTGAGAGGGCGGATGTAGAGAAAAGTGTCCCTTTCTGATTTCCCTGAACTTGGCAGAAGCTAAGATTTTGCTGGACAGAGATGAGAATCATAAAACTGATTTAATTACCATTTGGAGAAGGGATTTGGGGTACTGCATTAGCTATCTTAGACAACAGGAGCTTTTCCCACCCCATTGCAATTGGAGGATTTCATTCCCAAGAGAATAGCACCTAGTGAGAGGGCAGGACCTAAAAGTAGTTTGTGGCTTGAAGACATCTGAGCGTGTGGTACCGGTACAGCAAACACTAGAGACAGACCAGATTTTCTGTGTACAGACTTAAGTGGTGCACTCCTCAGATGGGAGATTCTACAGAGCTTAACAGCATTAGAGAAGAACCCTAAGAACCCCACACAGTGAGCATCACTATGACAGTATCTTCTGGATTCAGGATGCAGCTTTTCTATACAGGAATCTCAAAAGCCCCTCTTGAAAATGCATTAATATGGTCACTCTCCAAGGGATAAAGTTACTATGCCATTCCCCCCCATCTTTGCAATGTGTATTCAAGTTCAGTTTACTTTCTAACTAACACCTATGCCCTTTGATTCAACAGGATGCCCTCTTTCTCCTGGAGGCTTGGGCTAACTATCACTTTTTCAGACTTATTAGAAATGTGGTTAACGACCAAGTATTTTCTTCACTTGTAATTTTTTTTTTAATTTGGGTATCAAAGTAAAATTTGAAGGAAGATGAACTTGTAAATAAGTTTTTCACAAAATATATAGCTTCTGATTCTATCAAAATGGATCTCGTTTGCCTTTTCTGTCCCAGGCTTTTCATTTGGCATGCTATTGGGGCATTGGTGAATTGACATGTCTTTGTTTTCCAGTGTGCTATGCTGATGGTGGCTGGTTACTTCTTAGTTTTTCTATGAGCATATGCATCTTGGTCCTCTTTCAGTGGCTGTGTTGGCTTGCTTATAACATGTTCTTTATTTAATAAGAATCTCATGGCTTTTTGGTGTATGTTTAGAAAAAATGTAGCTAAGCCAAATGGCTCTGAGGCAGAGATTCCTTCTGATGATCATCTACATGAAAGCTTTGGGTCTTGTGGTTTTTTTCTTCTCCCCAGCAAAATCACTAACAAAATAGTGATTCCTGAGTTATAACTCAGCTATCAACCTCTTCAGCTTAAGGATCTACAGCTAGCACACCTACCAATGATACCAACGAATGGCTTGGACTTCCAGGTGCAGAGGGCTTCTACAGTTGGCATGGATGACAAAACTCTGCATGTCTTTTCCAATTCTTGGTGGAGGGCTAGTGTTTTCAAAGCTGTTCTTCCTGCTGCTGCAACCTCCTTGACTATTTTATCCAGAAGATCTCATGTTCTAAACCCAAAGGTATTCTGTGACAGAATATGAAGGACATTGAGATACAAAACAACATGGCGGATGAAGCTGAAGGCTCTCTCCTTTCTCTCCATTTCCACTCAACCATCTATACAACCCTGTATAGATGAGGTGGTGTGTAGACTACAGAGGAGTAAAATGTACGAAGCAAGCAACGAAGGCTCCAGAAATAGCATTTTCTAATTGCCTCAATCATCATTATCACAGTTCCATCCACTCCACGGGTTTCTGACCACCCAATACAGAACCAGGACTGGACCCAGGGGAAGCCAAGCCATTCAGATCCAGAAGTACTACTTCAGACAACCACCAGGATGACTGGTAATGAGTTATGCGCATTTCGTTTATGATTCTTTCCCTCAAAGCCTATGACTTTGTGAAGGTTAAGCATCTGGACACGGTGGGAAACTTAGTTAATGTCTCATCACAGATCCTTAGTGAACTTGTATGAGGGTACTCAACTCCACATGGGTGTCATTTATCAACCATACTACCTGGACACAAGGTATTTCACATCACTTTTTATTAAAATGAATACATATGAGTCATTTATGGTACTGTCTCTGACAAGGTAGTTATTCTGGAATAAGTAATATCAAAGAAATTTGTACCTGTTCATTTTCTCAGAGGACAGATTAGTGAAATCACTCAGATTTATTGAGAGTAAGTACTTAGAGATAGTGCTTAAGCATAGCACCTGTCGGCAACAGGTACTTTAGTGGAAAAAAAGGATTATTAAAGACTATTTGTTTAAAAGTCACAGTGTGCTTAACCATCATCACAACAGATGTAGACAGAAACAGCACCATTGCTCATGAAGAAAACTCAACCCAGGAACCACAGCCTCCTGTCAATCACCATGAGTATCAGGATGAAGAGGAGACTCCACATGCTACAAGCACAAGTAAGAAGGATGATGCTCTGAAGTTCTGGTACCCAAGTTAGCAGAGATGTTGTTTAGCTATTGGCCATAATTTTTGTCTCTGCAATTTATCTCAAAACTAAAAGGGGCCAGATCTGCACACAATTTTTAGAAATAAGGAAGAAAAGATGGCAAGTTATCAAATTTTCCAAGAGACCAGAATGCTTACAAAGTAGATATGAGATGGTGTTTTTGTGCTAATGATTACTAATGGCTCTGTTTTGGTGGTTGATGTGTGTGTTCAGAAATGTGTGTGGGGAGCATGCTCTTCAAGTATTTAGTGTCGGATCTGGAGGGGAAGCTTCACGAATGGGCAAATCTTTGAAATCATCTTAGGGGAAGACCTGTGGTGCGCCCAGTTTCTTTATTCCCACATTCCCTTCCTTGCTTTGTGGTAGAATGGTACTACTCTGTCCTTGGTAGAAAGTCCGGGCCCATATGGTTTCTTTTCTAGTTCTAAGCTACCCTTCTTTTGTCAGAGCAACTTGGGAAAGGTCCCGATGCTCTTATTGCTATTTCTACTTATTAAAATATCTCAGATTTTCCAAAAACAATCTCATGTTTCACCTCTGGATTATGAACCTAGGACAAGAAAACAAAGAAAAAGTGAAATGTATTCATCTTTCCTCTGTATCTCAGAGAGATGCCTGCCTTCTTTGGAATAAAACTGATCCTTGAGATAACATCTTGTAGCATTTAAAATTATAGCCAAACACCATTTTCATAACCTTGAATATTCTTAAAGGGGAAATATAGGAAAGAGCTACTTAAGAAACAAAGAGCTGAGGCATTCCTCATTCGATGGATGTGTTTAATCAAGGAAAAGTTTGTAACCTGGATTCATATGTTCTGGGCATTGTCCTGAATGTCTGGCAGGCACTGCATTCTATTCTTTACCATAGTTGATTTGATGTATGCATAAAGATTAAGGGCTGAGCTGAGAAGAAGACTGTTAAAGGAAAGAATCGACAGGAAACAGGACCCATTTCAGTCCCCCTTCCCACCGTGGTCCTAACAACTATCTTATCAATTACTGTAAAACAGTTTACACTTAAGCAGAATGCTACTTAAGACACTTCGAATAAATGCATGTAATGTCAAAATATAATGAATGTGGGACTTCCTTACTAGTAGATACTTAGAAATCCAGATGCAGTTAATAAAGAAAAGTTATCATCAATGCTTGCAAAATCCACATTGGTAACCTCTGGACTTCGTTAAGGGGACATTACAACTTCTAGAAAAGAGTAAGCCCTTATGATTTACAGGGCAAGTTCTGTCTTCCTAACCCACTCCTGACCATACTGAAAACACTAGGGCATGGTTGGGCACTTGAAGGATCATTATACTTATACGATAAATGTTGGGTGGAGACATACATAGGGTGTATGCTTGTGAGCACACATGTGTACTTCTATATTCTTTAAACTTTGGGTATCTTAGCTGTATAGTTTTAATTTTTACTTTTTAAATAATTACAGCAGAAATTTTCTACCTTTGATATTTGTTGAGAGATAGTGGCTTAACTAATGGAAAATAATTTAAGATTAGGGCTTCCCTCCCTTTGGATAATCAGTTAATCCCAGGAATAGTTTGCAAAATGCAAAGACAAACTTAGCAGGAGGTCCACTTAAAATATATTTGCTATCACAAAATCACACACATCATTTTCTAAGATAATAAGACACAGTGAATTTTTTAAGGCATAAAAGTTCTTTTGATTTGGCAATTTCTAGGCTCTAATTTTCCTGATGAATCAGAAATTTGCTATGAGCTGTTACAGATGAAAATGTCAGTGGCTTTCTGACTTTTCCAGGAAGCACCCTGATGGGATTTTGTCCCAGTCCACTTGCCTTTTTAAAACAGTGCTTGAAAGGTTAAGCCTGTCTGATACTGTTATTATTTATATAATTCCCCAACTGGCTAGAATAGTTTTTTCTTCCACTGAATTAGCTTTGTTCAGAAGAGGCTTTAGCAATTTAAAATGTCCCCAGACAATCACATTGCAGATCAATGTAGCAACATCCCAGACATCCCTGCCTGGGTTTGCATGCCTGCCTGGTTCTTCTGAGTGTGGTTATAAGTTGTGGAGTCTGTTTGCAAAGGTCCAGTGTTGTGAGTTGCCATAGCCCACAGTTCCTGCTGCAAAATCACTGGAACATGGAGATTATGCTTTCAACAGAAGCTCTCTCTGGCAGAATACGTGAGGCTATAGACATAATACTTAGAATAATACTTAGAATTCACAATCCTCAGATTAGGGTCTAGTCATGGATTTGCGCTACTCTGTGTACATATTTTTCAGCAAATAAAACTTGTTTTCCCATCTGGAAAATCAAAGGATTGGAAAATTAAGTTTTATTTCTATTTTTCAGCATTTAAATGACTTAACCCCTAGCTGTTAATGTATCTATCTATCTATCATCTATCTATCTATCTATCTATCTATCATGAATGTATGTGTGTATGTATTCATGTATATTGTATGTATGTATCTGTCCATCATTTATGTATCTATGTATTTATCTATGTATTATCTATGTGTCTATGTATGTATATGGTATGTATCTATCATATGAGTATGTATGTAGCATGTATGTATGTATCTACCTACATACGTATCTATCTCTGCCCTTTATGTAGAAAGACATATCAGAGGGTTTGTTAAGAACCTGGACAATGTGGCTCACCATCAGCATTCTCCTCACAGCCTGGGCAGCTCCTAGTAGTACAGCAGAAGAAGCAGCTACCCAGCAGGACCCGTGGTTTGAGAGTGGATGGCTGGGGAAGTACTCCCCCACACCAACGGAAGACTCCCATGTGACAGCAGGGGCAACTGGTAAAGGAGGGTTTCACCATGTGGGCAGAAGCTACTTTCTGAGTTCTGTGCTGGGCATTGAAAACCCAACACAAAAAAGACCCTGAGGTTCGGTTTCCTAATACATCATATTGAAGTAAACGTAGATCCAGATTGTAAATGCGCCAAGCAAGCTACCTGGCCAGGCATACATAGAAGCACATGAAAGAAATAGAGTTAGCCTATAAGTTTGTGATGTTCATATCTAGTTAGAGGCAGCACCTCGTGAAACAATGACAGAGGCCTTATCAAATGAAAGCCCCCTTTCTGCTTTCTAAAGATCATTTACTGTATAATATGAGTCTGACTTTTTCCTTATATTTATGTGAAACACTAGGCTTATGAGAAAGAATTTTATTAGAAATTTAGCTTTGGGGTAAATCCTCTCATTACAAGAAAAAAAAAAGATACCTGGGTGATGTCGTCTGACCTTTTGTTCTTACCTCTTTTGAATATCTCCTCGAATGTACAACTGTTTAATTACGTTCACAAATAAGTCATCTCCTCCATTCTGGAAATGTGGGGTTGTGGGAATTAGAATTAGACCTTATCATCTCTGAAGGATGCAGGATGATAACGTGTCTCTGCAAGATGCTGTGCTTGACTCCTTTGTCTGAGTGATTAGGCATTGTGATTCACCCTGACCTGCCAAGGGTGTGAGTTCCACATTATCACTTGCTATCGGTGGGAAATATCTCTGTGTTTCCATCTGCAATACAGAACCTGATCCAGACCTTCTTTGCAGTGCATGGCGACATGGAAATGAATCACTAGTGGAGCAGCGGGTTTGGTGACTAGCTCCTTGGTGTGTTTGTTTCTAGGGGATGCTATTGCAATCTCTCTTCCGGTACTTCTCTACTGGCACAGAATGAGACAAAGGCATAAACCACATGCCCGCATGCTATTTCTCATTGTGCGAAAGTAATGCTTCTGCTGGACTCCATCTGTGCTTTTGTGATAAGTAGCTCTTTCTTGCTCTTCACTTGGGAAGCCTTTACCCGATGTCGTCTGTATATCATCACCAGCTCATTTTGCATTTCGCTCTGGGATGGGCTTGTCTCGGAGTGACGTCATGCACTTGAGCTCTTCCACCTCTCTCTGTAGGGGACTGTGGCAGCATCTTCCCTGGATGCCTATAACTCATCCTCTATCCATTGCAGTACTTGTTAACGCTATGCTTCCTCCAACTTCTGTGCTGGTGACCAAGAAAATGAGCACCAATGAACCAAAGCCTGGGGAAACAATCTAAACGGATGCATCCCTTTGTCCTCAGTACTAGAAAGTTATTTTCACTATCTTCTCTAGAGAATAAAGTCTATATATCCCTGCCCAAATGTCAGTAACATTTTGACAATTGTCTGAACAGCCTCAGACGACAATCACCATCCAAATCTAAGAATGACGACACAGAGTCAAGAGGACGTCTTCTGGACTGAGTTCTTGGACCCAATCTCACATCCAATGGGACAAGATCATCAAACAGAAAGGAAGGGTAAACAGCATCTGAAACTTTTTAATATATTATATTTCTTAGAATCAACTAAGTCCCTTTTCTCTTGGAAATGTAGCATTGGTTTTAGTTCAGTCTGCTTTCTTAAGCATCCTCGTGTGCCTTCAAAAATGAGTTTGCTGATACAAGTTGGTAAGGAGTGGGCATGCACATTCATTGACATATAACGTTCTATCAGAGAGTAAAGAATCTGGCAGGAAGATTAAGTAAGTCAGTCTGAAGCTGATTACATTGGAAGCTATTTATCCTGAGGGAGAGGTAGGCTGTTTCTTACTTTAAGATGGTCTTACTACATGACCCAAGCTGATTATCAATTTTTGATGATCCTCCTGCCTCAGTCTCCTGAGTGCTGGGATTGAATGTACTATCATGCCCAGATAAAGAAGAGATATTCTTAAGATTCTTTTCCTTTTTATGTACAAAGATTTCAAAAGAAAAAAATAAATAATGGATGCAATGACTGTGTCCATGATAGATTCAAAGATAAATTTAAGATTTGGTAGACAAATCTAAGTGGTAAAAAAGATTGGTGAGTAGTTAAAGTAAATAAACAGTAAATGACTCAGAAAACTTCAAAGTTATTTATTATTGCCTCGTTCAGAGATAATGTGGTATTGAAGGATTTAGGACTTAGATCATTCTTGGCCCTCCTTGAATGGCTATGAACTTAAGGGATAGACAGTTTGTATATGAGACAAAACTCCTGTTTTCCTAATGCCTTCCGTTCTTATTTACACACAGCCATTTGAAAAGAGAAAGCAAAGACATTAGTTGTAGTTTTGCAAGAAAGGAAGGCAGTAAATTATTTGACTACTTTTTATATTTAAAAGCAATTTTCCTTTATTGTGACAGCAGCAACCTGCTTGACAGAAGCACCAAGAATTAGTAGCTTCTGTCCTCTTAAGATTTAACAAGTAGAAGACTGTATTTCCACTACATTCATGAGTAGAATTACTTTTTTAAAAAGACAAAATATTCTTACCACAAAAAATGTAACATTCCAAAATAACCAAATACAGGGTTCTGTAAATTTTTCCAGAGAACATTTATATGTATTTTCTGGATATAAATTGTCAGCCACAGGCTCCACACATCTGACTGAAATACATTCTAATAGTGCTGTGAATATATCTCCATATTGGATAACTACAAAATTATCTCCAAAGTAAATCCAAAAACTTCTATAGTTGCCATTTTTAAAGAAATTCCATCTTATCTTAATATTAGTGAGCAGATACCCAATAAACAACCATGTATATGGTATGCACTAGACATGTAAAACATCCTGGAGACAGAAGGATGCATTATTCATATTCATGATTGAAAGAAACTTCAAAGTCAGCAGACAAAAGAAAATACTTAAGAGCACAATAAATCTGACAACACAAAAACTCATATTTTCAATATTGGACACTAAAGAAATCCAGAGGTTCCCACACCTCCCACAGACCATTGAAGAACAAAGAACCGAAAGCAATTTTTCAAAAATAAAACTGCAAAGACCTGGCTAGACAGAAAAGAGAAGTGAGATGGAGGAATTTTTGAACAGGAGATGCGTGTGAACAGATCCATAAAGAAAGAAAAGCCAAGGGATGCGCACATCACTATGAGTGGATACATGTATCCTAAGAGAGGGCGTGTTTAAAATGCTAGGCTGGGGCCATTTTGTTGAGTTACAGAGGTGCCACAGGCAAGACCCAGCACACAGTTTGATGTACTTAGTTCCTGGGGTGGGACTCTGAAGAGACCCATGGTAAGAAACAAACAAATAAATAAACCCAGTAAAAGAATTCCACAAATATTATTAGGTGTCCAGCCTGAAGAAGAGAGAAAGATTACATTCTATATATCCAAGAAAAAGGTGTTAGGTCTCATAGGCAGTTCGCATATCCGGAAAAGATCTCCAACTGGACTATAGGAGGAATTCTGGTGGTTAGATAAAGACCAGCATTCCTCTGAAGCTTGTGAAACCAGTTCCCATCTGCCAAAAGGAGTCATTTCCCTCACCTCTGGCAGAGAGGACATATGAATCCCCATTGACATGTACCTGTGACTGCATATCAAAACCCATGTTGGCCTCCAAGATCCCTCAATCATAGCTCACAAATGCTTGTTACAATATTTTAAGCCCCGCCCCCTTGCCTGTCTTCTGGCTCTTTCCTCCGCATAGCTACTCTCCCTCCTCAGATTATCTGCTTTCTAACTCACTCTGTTCTGGTCTCTCGCCATCTTGTTTTGTCTGCTATTCTCTCTTGGTCTCCCTCTCTCCTAGTCCTTGGCATGTCCAGGCTGCTGGCCATGGTTAATCTACTGTTTTCTCTGTTTTTCTCTCTTTGCTCCAGACTCTTCCAGATGTCTCTGGCTCTTCTCTCTCTCATATCTACAATGCAAACTTTAACTATAGCATGGAGTGGTCATGCCGGCAATTTCTTAACTGTTTCCTCACACACACAAGACAGTTAGCTTCCATCATACAATGACATGATAGTGTTCCAAGAATTATATTTACAAAAGGAAAAGTGATCAAGAGTGGCTGCAGGCCCTCAGCAGACAAGGCCTTTTTCTGGCAGGGTATACAATTTGAAATTTTGAATGAAGGGTCGCTGGCCTTTCTTCTTTGAAAGCCACACATTTTTCTCTAATACGGGTCTTGTCTGTCTTTGCTTTTAGCATGCAAAGGCTGGAGTCCCAAGGCGGGTGCCCCATATCCCAGTACTTCCCACTGGAGCCACTTGGAATTGATTAGATCTCCCCAGAGGCAGTGGTGTGGGTGGACTGAGAAAATTGTAGAGTTAGTAGCATTGACGGTGTTTGTGGACTGTTGGGCCTCTGTTTCACTCTGAACTTGTTATTCCAGCCCACCAAAGATCTGTGATAACCATCACAAAAAGCAGCCTTTTTAATTACTTCAGGGATATTTTGCACCACTCAACACTATAATCATAATTCCCAAGACACTTATTTCTTGTATTTATGGGGAGAATGAGTCTTGTTTGTCTATAGGTACGTAGTTGTCTCAACGTAGTTATATTGAGTAATGTGTATATCGTTTTGTTTTTTCCTATGTTTACTTTCTGAAGCAAAAACAAAACAAAAAAAATAACCAAATAAGGGAATTCAATGGCTGTTTACAAGGTTTTTGTAGGTGTTGTTTTGTTTTGTTTGGCCTGGTGACAGCTGGAGGTGACAAAGTGATGCTTGTCTGTGCTGTTTCACTCCATGTGTCTGACTGTACCTGTCGGCCTTGTAGCAATTCCTACACGGGTTCCATTTCTGTTACTTTGCACAGACTGTGAGCCTCATTGTGAGCTCATGTAACTTCCTTCCAGACTAAGCAAAACAAGCAAACATATACGTGATAGCTTTTGTCTAGCTCTGCCCTGCAATGAAAACCACTTATAGCCTGTGGTGTTCTTGATGAAACAATCATTTTTCACAGTTCTGGACACGAAAACTTGTTTCTTTCCTCTTACCAGGCTGAATGTAATACTTAGCTCTAAGACAAAGGGCCCTCAGGCAATGGCATAGGGAATAAGGCAATAACACTCCTTTAATTCCTTCAGCTACAGACTCCAGCCATAGTACAACCCTTCAGCCTGCTGGAACTCCAACTACTCATGTGGTGGAAGATTTGAACAGGACAGGACCACTTTCAGTGACTACTCGTAAGGATAATGTCACTCAGCCCTTTGTTGGCCTGTCTTCCCACTTCACATCTGCTGACATTGGTCAAGATGTCACATTTGGTGGTGGAACGGTGCAGTCTTTGCTAGGTGGTTCAGCTCAACCAGGGGTGAATCTGTTTTCATTGTCTGTCTTTCTTGTGAGGGTTCTTTAAACCTGACTTTATCTTCATTCACAGTCCCCTCCTGAGTCTATGACTTTTTATTAATGAAAGGATATAGAGGTTTAATTCATCTTCATTTTTCTTTTCTAACCCTCCAGATGAATGAATGACACCATCACTAGTAGGGTGGTTTATCTATGTTTTAATAGACTTTTTGAATTTCACTCTTTAACCAGTCAAGGAAGGAGAAAGATTGCTTCCATGAGTGTGTAACATGAGGACCAGGTTATCACAGTGACTAGAGAAATCACATTTAGCTTTGAGAAAAAGAGTAAGGAATGTTGATAATAATTGACCAAGGTGGTGGAGCCCTGGGAATGAAAAAGAACCATTTGTCAACATATTTTCTATCATTAAACATCTGCCAGGAAGAAATATGAAATTTTTAGTACCCTTAATTTTCACTATGTGTATAAGTATAGACCAAGGATCAATCCAAAGTCATTCATGAATTCTTGGCAGTTTATCAAAGAACTCCCCAAACTAAGAAGGCCTTGTTTCACTGCTTGCTACACATCATGGGCAGAGTCCTTGATAGGAGCCCATTAGGCATAGGGAAAAAAGCCAGCAGGCGTGTATTGACTGCCACCAATGTAAACAGCAGCGTTAGGCATCAAAGGAGACATAAACAAGCCTATCAACAGCCCTTGCCAATGCTCAACTTGTATTTCCATTTGTGTTACTGTTGGCTTTTGTTCTGGTGTTGGGTTTGGGATTTTGAATGTCTCTCTCCCGGTTATATTTCTTTGGTGGTGGACATGGCTGATGGGTGTGTTTTATGGAGCCTTTGCACCTGTACCTCAGAGGTCAGTCAGTGCCTTTCTTAGAAGAATATAAAAGAAAAGAACTCAAAACTGTCAAAGTGATTTCAGATATGGGCCATGATTCAGTCTCAAATTGATATGTGTCACTGAGGACCCTGTGTTTGCCCAGGCAAGCATCTCTTTGGTGCAGTGAAGAGAAACCCTGTTACAAGCAAGATCACAGCCCTGCTAATAAAGTAGTCACTAAAATGCAAGGTTCTCTACAAGGGAGTCATGTATTTTCTTGTAAAGTTGCTCTGAGTTAAATGATGGAGACAGGCTTCTTCTTTTGTGTTCACTGCACAGCACTACTTTCTTTATAACTTCTTTGTCTGCAACTTGCCAACCTCAGTGGTTGAGGGAAAACTGAAATTACCACTCCCCTTTCTGTGTCTCTATGATTTTTGTTTCCCTGGGGTCTTTGGTGCAATTGGGGCAACGTGGTCCAGGGAGGGCAAAGTTTTGGCTTGGGTTTCACTCTGGAATTTTACTGAGAGACAAAGAAGCTAACTAGAGACAAAGTATGATTTTTTTTCTGTTTGTTTTTATCAATCAGCAGATGATGACGGGCACAAATATAATTTTCCTATTGTGTCTGTCCATCTAATATCCTATAGCTAGATCATCCTTGTTGGTGGGTAACATCCTTGTAGTATGGTTCCTAATTAACACTAGCTTCACCCCTCATTGAAACAGCACAGAGTCATTCTCAGAAAGTCTCTACATCACATGAAGAACTGGAAGAAGACCAAGACCACCCAACAACTTCTATTCTGCCATCTAGCAGTAAGGATCATAAACCCCAGCTGGGCTTGGCTGTTTAGAGAAATCAATAAGCTCTGGGTACTTTGTGGGATCTTCGGTGGTGGTGCATCCATTGCTCACTTTTACATTTTAATTTTAATAAAAGGTGTATCTGGTGGTGGTCTCTGGTTCTTCTGCTTGTAGACCTTTTAGAAGCCATTGTACATTAGGTACAAACTTTTCTGCTGAGTTGGTTTTAAAAAGTGATGATTATTTCTATAAGATTTCCTTGAAATCCATTATATTAATACTATCTCCATTTTGTTTTCTGGACCACAACTCATGGTATTGGTGACTCAAAAGCAATGCCTTCTGGCACAAAAAAGAAATCATGTCAGTAGACTCGGGTCTTTGGGATCTTGAGCTTCTTATTCCAGTTGCAGACAGAATGGTTTCATCTTTCCCTCCAATAGTTTATTTCCTCTTCATCCTCAGAGGTGGACCAAATTGAGAAAAAAAGCTCAACATCCTGTAGTACCTGAGTTGAGTTCAAGGTCACAATGGGATTAACCTCCCCTTGATGACTCAGACAAATCTCGTAACAACTACGTCTTCTGAGTAGTAGTCACCAAAACCTCTTCTGTTGCGGCTGTAGTCTTTTGTCAAATATTGGTTGTGTTCAGTACCGTTTGCTTTTGGTCTTGGAGGACAAGTAGAAAGATGTGTCGGCAACTTTCCCTTCTGAAGACAAGCACATGGTGGGTGGTGACCATCCAGGTGTGGGCTTGTCATTGACTCCACCTCCACCACGCAGCTAGGAGTGGTGGTAAAGACGGAAGAAGAGGCCCAAGCCTTCCCAAAGACACAACTACTTCTCTGGAAGGCTACACCCCTCATTATCCAGACACAATGGAAAATGGGACTCTCACCCCAGTGGCCCCTGCTAAGACTGGGGTCTTTGAAGAAACCGAAGTGACTGTTGCTGCAGACTTCGACTTTAATGTTGATAGCTCCGTACCAGGTAATTTGGCCATTTGTCATCCGGTTTGCTTCTCTGGAGAAGCAACATATCTTTTCCTATTATCAGGGATATTTTCTGTGCAGGCTGCGATTAGATTACTCTGTGCCATGGGAATGGTTTTCATCATTGGCCATCAATTCTAGTGCCAGCAAACTTGGGTTTATTTGAGATAAATCAAGGCTCCCGTTTCCTGGTGTAATCTCTATTTAGTTTTTGTGACTTGGGTCTCATGGTAGGTTTTCTTACTTTGTCTTTTCTTCATTCTGTGATATATTAACTTGGGTCATGTGAAACTGACATCTTCGTCGATCGAAATAGTTGACTATTAGCAATTTCATATGATTCAGCTAATATATTTTGCCTATTTAGCAAAGCTATACCAAACATTCAAATGATTTTCATTTACTGGTATCTTTCCTCTGACATTATCTTTCATAGGTGGTGGACTGATTCATTTCATTTCATTTTTTGGTGATGGGTTGATATGTAAGCCTTTTCTACTTATGGTGTGCTTCAAAGTTCATGATTCACGGTTAATAAACTGGGATCCTCACTTTTTTTTTTTTTTTTGTAATTGTAAACATATGACTTACTCAACTAAGTCTGACATGGACCCAGAATGAGACCTTTCTCTCAAATAAGCAATCCTCTCTTCTTCTCTTCTTTATTTCTTTGTTTGTATTAATAAACTAATGGTGTACAAAGGGGAAGTGCTTTCTGTGGCTAATAAACTAGAATCTCAATCCTATTAGTGCCTATAATCCAGGTACCTCTTACCACTCAATCGCTAACACATTAAAGATTAACAACCTTAAATACACACACATGCACACACACACGCGCACACACACACACACACACACACACACACACAATTTGTAAAAAGCCCCTACCTCCTTCACTCTCCCAAAAGACAAGAAACTGATCTCACAAGAATCACATATGCAAAACAGATGGTAGTGGTGAGGTTCTGATTGACAGAGGGGGAAAAAACGGGGATGGCATATGTGTGGCATATTTCCTTTGGCATCCTTCTCCAGGGCTTCAAGAAAAAGAGCTTTAAAAATATCAACCTCAGCAGTTGGCAAACCCAAGCCCCCTTCCACTCTGAAGGCTTTGGCTTAGTGTCCTTATTAGTAACCTTCTTTTCTTCATTAAAACCTCAAAGTGCTATTGTTAGATTCCTGCAGAATGAATCAAATTTAGGAAGGCCACCCTGTTCTCATGCTAAAATGGTCCCATCCATGGAGCAACTTAAAGGATTTAAATTTGAAATGGCAATCTTAGTTATAGTTCCTTAGGTCGTTTGCAGAGTCTAATTGCCAGCAAATAAAATACCTTCTACAGAATTACTATGCAAGCGTGCTGATCCCATCTGATCAACATAAGAAAGGTGGTGGTGTCTGTATTTCCTTCCGTTCTCTGTGAATCCAGCGATTCGATTCGTAAACAGCCTGATCCTCACTCCCCATTTTCTTCTAGAGGATTCACAAAGTGTAGTTCTGTCTATCCGTGTTTCTCAATCTACGCACCTATAGCACTGACCTATGCGATGGCAGTGGTGCTGATGGGCCTGCTGATGGTGATGGTTTGGAAATGGTGATTTTGGTGGTGGGACTCTCAGTGTGGTGTTTCGGCAAGTGCTGTTGTCTGTTATCATATCAGGAGCAGTTCCCAGCAACCCTCTCCTAACGGGAATGGTGGTGAGCAGCTCACTGTATTTTCTCCCTAGGCGCTTTTGTAATGATCTATACCAATTGAGAAGCCCTTGTTCTCTGTGTATGTTTCTCATATACTGAACCTAAGATTTGATCTTTGGATTTAAATTTACCCCCTCTTGAGTTTGTCTCAACCGAAAGTTTTCTGTTGATGGATATTTGAGAAGATGGGATCATGCCAACAATTGTTGAAATTATAGGTGTAACTTTTGAAAACACTGTCAGCAGGTATTGATTCTGATTCCCAGCTCTATGTCATTCGCGTTATTTCACTGATTCTTTTTTCTCTTAAGGAAAGTCTGGCCTTTCTCCTCTCTGGATAGTTTATTTTTCCCACATTCATACCTAAGATTCATTTGCCTCAGACTCAGAGACACCTCCTTCATGCTGCGTTTGCTGAGCCCGAGTACACCCATTTACGTGATCATATTTCAGTATGGAAACTCTTGTCCAAGCTAAGAAGTGTCCTGCTCAAATCCCAGCCCCACGAAAGCATCATAGTAATTTCCTAGAATATTATTTTGCTCTGCAAGATTTGGATTTCTACCCACACCATTATTTTAGTGGTCATCCAAAATGGCCTGCGCTGCCTCAGTTTCCTTCATTTTGATTAAGGCTCTAGCCCACTCCTCAGCATCTTAAAGATGAACAGTGACTTCTTGGTTGTTAGCAGATGCTGGCTTCCTGAAGACACACCCTATGGAAGTGAAGATCACAGTGTGATGAACACACAGTGCTGACTTTTTTTTTCTTTTTGCCTATTATTCTAGAAGGCCGAGACACATCCATGGACCCCAGGCATGGTTCCGACACTGTGACATATGGATCCGGATCAACTGGTGAGTTTGAAATGTTTAGTCACTTGCTATTATAATCTCCCAACCTGATGATTGCTAATGAAGCATGAGTCAGTGTCCCTAGAGAACTGTCTCACACTTAAAAAAAGAAAACACATGGATTTTCAGCCACAGGGAGGGCTTTATTAAGTCACTCTGCTGGACCCCACCCTGAAGTTTCTGATTCAGTAGTCTGGGGTGGGACCCAAGCATTTGTATGCTTAGTAAATTCCCAATCACCCCGAGACTGCCGGGATGGATACCACACCGTGAGAACCAGCACTCTTAAAAAGGAGCTTCCATCTGGAAAAGTGTGGAAGACTTCATACAGTTCTTCCGTGCTCTCTAGTGTTGTGTCAACTTGCCTCAAGCTAGAGCCTTCGGAGAGGAGGGAGCCTCAACTGGGAAGATGCCTCAGTGAGATCTGGCTGCAGGCAAACCTGAGGACCATTTTCTTAGTGACTGATGTGGGAGGGGCCCCCATGCTGGGGCTGGAACTACTGCTGGGCTGGTGGTCCTGGGTTCTATAAGAAAGCATACTGAGCGAGCCGCAGAGAACAAGCCAGTGAGCAGCACTTTCCTCCACGGCCTCTGCATCAGCTCCTGCCTCCACCCAGGTTGGAGTTCTAGCCTTGGCTTCCCTCGATGGGCTGTGATGTGTAAGCCAAATAAACCCTTTCATCCCCAGCTTAGTTTTCATCACAGCAATAGTCACCCTAACTAGGACAACCCCATCTAACACTGCCCCCATTCGAGAGCCCCTAGGAGAACTCTTTCAGCATAAAAGAGCTCGTGTTTGATTCTCATTCCTCTCCCTAGAAATTGAGCAGGATGATCACAGGGTCTGAGAGCCAATGTCTTAGCTGCAAATCTAGAGATATTGTCACGGGGTACCCTTTAAAGGCCACATGGCAGAATGAATACCAGGAAAGTGTTTAGCATATTCCTGGCAACTGATAAAGCCAGCATTTGAGGATTTACTGTGTGCCAGAAAGACTAACCAAAACGTCTCATTTGTACATTGAACTACATGAAACTGATATTTCAGTAGGGTGCGCATGCCCAGTGCTAGAGAGTTTAGGGTTCATTTTCTATTAACTCATCTAATCACCTTGCAAACCCTACTACAATACATGAAAACAGTATTATCATCTCCTTATTACAGAGGAGGAGAAGGAAAGGTAAGAGAAGGCAAGCAACTTGCCAAGTTCATATGACCAGAGAGTGGTGGAGCCAGGTTTCAGGCCTGGGGTCTCATATTGCCGCTCCTAAGTCTGGTCTGGAAGAAAATTCCATAATGACCATAATTACTGCCAGAAATGCATTATTAAATAAACTGCTGTTGGCCATGACTCAGATCAACCCCTGAAATCATTGCTCCAGGCAGCAAAATCTGACACGACGCAAGCTTACTTCTAATCCCTAATGCTGGGGTTACAGAGAGGTTCTCTCAGCACTTCCTATCATGAGTTCCTGATCATCACGAATCTACGTGGTCCACAGGAACCAGGAAATCCACATAAATTAGCATCCTCTGCCGTGGGCTTGGAACCCCAGTGCTGCCTCTGGGGTTCAAGCAAATCTGAGGATGGATATTTACACGATGAGTTTGATAACAGCCCTTAAATGTGGGAGCTCTGGCTTTGAGGGCTCATTAATAATTACCCTGAAGTAGAGACAGATGTTTCGAGCTCGCTGGGGTGCTTAGCATGCTTGGTCATCCCCAGCTTCTGTTTCCTTGTCGGTAGGAAGAGAGATCGTGTGACCTACCTCAGCAATCTAGGTGGAACACGAGGTATTGAGAACATAAGAGGTTATTATTTGAAGGTGTGGTTCCCCAAACCAAGAGACCCTACTACTGTGAGTGTAGTCTGTGGACCAGCCACAGAGACTGTGCACAGAAGCTTGTGGAAAGGGCCTAATCGTGCCCTATGCAGATCCAAACCGGATCAGGGTCTGAGTTTATTTAAGCCCCTTCCCCTTCAGCTCGTTTGTGTGGTCCACTCTCCACTGCCTTTCTCGCTGCCGTTAAAGCCAACGGAATGATTTCTGTGCCCATTTCTGTGGCTGGGCCCCATCTCCAAACTGGTGTTCCCAGTGTCCTGCTTTGCAGAACTCGTTCTCCAGGCCTGTTTCATCGGGATTGGATTTATGGAGCTCTTGGGCACAAGGGAAGCCTGCTGTCTCTGGCCCATCCTCTTGGGCTTTTGCTTGAAGTGAGAATCAGGTGGGTGGGAACTGGTCTTTTTCCTTTGGCTCCTATGCAGGTGTCTATTGTTCAAACGGGAGGTCTCATCTTGTGCACACACCTAGATCTTTCCTTGCTGGGAGCACTTCTTTGGAAAAGGAAAATAGATTATGATCTATTAATGGCCTCCCTTTCAAATATCAAAGGCTGCCATGAGTCAGACAAAGGAGACCGGTAGGAGTGGCTACCCTTTCACAGAGGTTTCCAAGGCCACAGTGCTCCGGCTTGGGTGGCTGCTGTGCAGCACATGTGTGCACATGCCATGTGCACACACAAACCTGCCAATTTCCCAGGACACCGGCAGGTGGGTAGAAAACCTACCATGAACTCCTTTGAGATCTGAGAAGAGAGGCCACTCTCAGAACAGTGCGCGTGCTGTGGAAACAGCACAGAAGTTGCCTTGCTCCATTTTGTGGAGGCCTTAGCAAAACACCAGACTGTCCACACTGAAGCCACCCTAGGTGGTTAGACGCCAGCGCTCACTCTGCAGAGCCTAAAGTTTGGATCTCTCAGAAAATATTTTCTTTTGAGCCCCATCTTCGTAGACCATGAGCTAGCCAACAATGTCTTGCCCAGGTTTTGTTCCCTTTGGTGGCCTTCGAGATCCCGGAACAGGCTGCTGTTTAGTGGCAAAGAGTAAAGGAAGAGAGAAGACAGAATACCAAGAAGTTTCTTTTGAAATGTGATGTCTTTTCGTTTTGAAAAGGCTTCTGGATTCTGACTCATAAACTGTCTGTCTCACCGTGCTTCCTTCCAAGCCGGGTTTTCTGTTCATTCCCTGTGTCTTTTAGTGGTAGAAAGCATTTATTTTTCTAGTATGTTTTACTGTTTTAGCATAGACTCTATTAACCATTCATTTATAGATAGAAAAAGCCAGTGCTCACCCCTCCTGCCAAAAGAAAAAAATAGTGTTCATATTAGTGCCTATAATATGAGTCCTACGTTGTTTTCCATTGCTGGGATAAAGACCACAACCAAACCTTTCCTTGGGGAGGAAGGGTTACTTGGCTTTTATGTTCTGAGTCACGGTCTACTGAAAAAACTCAGGGCAGGAACCAGGAGGCAGAGACTGAAGCAGAGACCATGGCGGAATGCTGTTTGTGGGCTTGCTCTCCATGGATTGTTCAACCTGAATCCTCATACCACCCAGGACCATCTGTCCCAGAGTGGCACTGCCTGGTGGGCTGGTCCCTCCCATAACAATCATTAATCAAGAAAACGCCCCCTGGTGGGCTGGTCCCTCCCATAACAACCATTAATCAAGAAAACTCCCCCATAGACTTGCCTACAAGCTAATGTGATGGAGACATCTTCTCAAAATTCTTTCATCACAGGTGACGCTGGCTTGCTTGTATCAAGTTGACAAAAAACTAAGCAGCATAATGCATGTGATTTTTTTAGATTCACTTTGGACTTTCAGAAGTAGATGACTTCATTAGGGATATTATTTAAACAAAGATGTTATTTCTGAAGGTTTGGAGTTAAGCTTGAGATTTCATATTGGTAGCCCGCTCCCTAGTCATGGGATGCTGCTGGTCTACAGGTCCATAGGCAAGGTCTTAGAGAGAGAATGTTGTAACTGCACACAGCTACTACTATCATCTACTTCTTTAAGTCTCTGTAAGACAACAATGAAGGTGTTCCTGCTATGACGTTCATTTTATAAGCCAGAAAACAGAGGCTCCGAGGTGATAATTTGTCCTGGCCCATATTGCTAATAATTTAGGTCCTAAACCCAGGATGGACCAGAACTGGATCTCAGGTTCAAACACTGTCCGTCACTGTTCCCTGCAACAAAAATCCCATTTGTAAGCCTTAGCTTGGTCACACCGAACTTTCTTGGGAGGCGGAGAGTGAGATGATACCTTTGCCTAACACTTTGTAAACGTCTGCGTCTTGAATCTATTTCTAGAGTCTAGTGAGGCAGTGGTTGGAGGGTAGCCCAGGACAATGCTCTGGAAGAAACTCCTGGCTATACATTCCAAACTGGGGCTGAAAAAGCTCGCTGTTTCCCCCCTTAGGACACTCAAGTGGAAGTCAAGAAGGTGGAGCGAACACGACTCCTCTTCCTGGGAGGAGACCTCAGATTCCAGGTGAGTTTCACGCCATGAAGCAAAAGAAAGATAATTAGAGCAAGGTTCTCACAAAGTCATAGGAAAGACCTCATCAGTACATCCTGCACCTCTCTGCAAGTTTAGGGATAAACAAAAATATGATAGCCCCTCGTGGGACAGAAGGGAGCCCTCTCTTTCCCCCTCTAGGTCCCTCGTGTCCTGAATGAGCTCACATGGAGGTCTGCCACAAAGAACTGGTGTGTCCTGAAGATTCCTTCCCACATGAGCAAGAAGACCCCAGGGCAAACCCAGGTCCTTCCTGTCTCAACCCATCTTCCCCTATATTTCTAGGACTAGAGATGAAACATGTAATTCTCTTTGCATTAGTGGGCAGGGAGGAGACACGGGACCATCCGTGTTGGATTGAGTAGAAACACTCTTCTGCTCCCCAACCTACTTTTCCTTGAGGAACAGCCTGTTAGTTCAGCCAGAAGGAACTTTTTAGAAAGTACGACTTGGACACGGAGGGAAGCTGTGACATCTGACTGTCCCATGCTACAAGATTTAGCCTTTGATGCAATTTCTTCTTTTAGCACGGGGTTGAAACTAAGCATATGCAAAGGGGGATTCCACACAGGAAGTTTCTCTTACTGTGGTAAATTACCCTTTCAACTCTTCCTCCGGGGAGCTCCAAAGTGGCTTCCCTGTGGCCCTCCTCCTTTGTCTCAGCTTGCTGACCACCTGAGGAGAATCAGGCAGGGAATGGGCAGGCTGAATTCAAGCAGGGATTCATTCCACTGTAGTGAGGAGGAGTGTGGAACACTCAGTGCTGAAAGTCAGGCAGGGTGGGGGAAGAAGAACAGAAATGGCTTCGTCCCTACAGTGTCCCTGCTCTCTTGAGGTGAGCCAAAGAGGACGCACAGTCTAACATAAGAGGAAAGTAGGACTTCCAAGGAGAAGCGGGCATGACTGCCAAGCTCCTCTTTCTTTTTTGTCAAGCCTTCCTTTACTGCACACACCTGCAACTGAATAGGGTCAGCTTCTCAGTCTCACAGAAGCCAGAGTTTAAAACATGTGGACAATATTTCATTAATCCACAAGTGGTACATAATTATCAAATAAACTTTAGAAAATGCAACTTAGCAAATGGGTGGAAATACAAATCCCTTACTATCTTTCTCATTACCCAGAAGTATTTAAGCTGCATTCTTAACAGATATTATCCTTAATATTTATTTTCAGAGTAATTGATTTCAAAACTGCTGTATTTGCTGTTGAGTTAACGTTCTCTGCTGGTCAGTTCCACTCTCCGTGCCATTAAATATCTTTCCCTTGAATTATAACACATAACAAATGGATGTATTTTAATTTATTCATTTAATCCCTCATCATTGGATGTTAAGTCAGTTTCAACTTTCAGGGTTATAAAGAGCATAATGACGGACATCTTTACAGCTGACTTTGAGATCCTATAACTTTCTGAACGTGTAACTTCTAAATCAGAAAGTCTGAGTATTTTGGGATCTGTTAACAAGTGGAGCCGAACAACTGAAAGGAGCCATAGAAATCTATCTTTACCAAACCACGAGAATGTCCTTTGCCCACCGATTATGAACTCCATCTTTGTTTTGAGTGAAGCATAAGGCAGATGCTCTTACATCGGCATGGAATGTTTCTGTCATGAGAACTATAAATGTCCTTTGATTTATTTAACATTTCACCAAAAAACATGTACAGTCTTCAACAGGTTGTTTGAGATGTTATTGGATAGATTTTTCTTCCAGCAGGATTTGACTAACTGTTGATAAGAGATTAATACAAGATGCCTGTTGGATGGAGCATCTACAGTCAAGATTGTCTTAGAATATTCTAGCTGCACCTGTTGGTCATCCCTCTCTGCAGAGTTGACTGTGGTATTTTTTATTCCATGAAGTCTGTTTGTGAAGCTCATGTATGTCCTTGGTTCTCTCTTACCAGAATGGCTCATCATCCTGGCATCTCTCCTGGCACTGGCTCTGATTCTGGCTGTTTGCATTGCTGTCAACAGTAGGCGCAGGTAAGAGAGAGCCCCTTCGGCTTTCCACTTTGAGGGGTATTGTGGGATTTGGGCTCTGATTGTAGCCTTGGCAGCCTTGGTACCCTGGGACTTGTTAGACATGCCTGGTTTCCAGCCTGACACCAGACTTCCTACATCAGAGCTTGTAATTTAACAAGATCCCAGGGAGTCCTGTACATGTCACAGTTTAAGAAGCCTTTCTCTGTCCCATTATCCAGAGAAACAAAACACCAGCACCCCTCCTTTTAAACAGTGGTTGGATCTTACTGTTCTTAAATTTTCCATGGTTAAATCCTATGGTGACTATCTGATAAAAGTTATGAAATACATCACTGGGACGTCATATAAAGGTATATTCAGTGATTGGCTCATTAAACAAGCACTTGCTAAGTTTGTTCATGATTCGCAAAATGTTGTATAACAAATTAAGAATTAGTTTTCTTCCCTTGACCATTGTAAGCCCAGGCATCTTCTAGAATCTTTACCCAAAGTTGGTACAGGTCCTGTTTGTTTTGTTGTTTGTTTCTCTGTAAGGATGTTATTTTGTGTTTCCTGAAAGTTTCAGTTGAAGGGATTCAGGACATTGCCTAAGAAAATCTCTACCATAGTGAGGTCTCTGAAACAAAGATGAACATTCGTATGTTCAGCACCACAAAACAGGCATCTCATCCTTGAAGCCCCTCTCTCCACCTTAACAAAGGCTTAGTATTTTTAAAGTTATTTAGGTAGTATATACATTTAATTAATTTATAACCAACCTCCAATTAGAATACTACCCAAGGCGAAATGCAGGACCACAGTAACTCTAGAAACAGGAGATGTGAACTTTAATCCAGGAAACCCCAAAAATATCTAAGTCTACATTCCTGCCCAGATACTTTAAAGATTCTTTGTTTTTTTTCCAAAGTGTCTGCTACAGACACTAAGCTTTTTGTAAATATCCTTTGTGATTGTCTCATGAAAGGTTAGAGTCTTCTTGCTAAACTGAGTGGCCTTTGCCATGTCTCTAAGTCACATTACAGCCCCCCAAATGCTCAGATTATGAGCCCGCTGAAAAGAATTATACACTTCATTATTGTTGTTGTTCAGAAACAATAAGCAACTATTTCCAGTGCCCAGTATAGTCTTTGTAGGCTTTCTAATCATCTGCAGAAACTGAATAATGTTGTTTTATCGGTGTTTAGAGTTAATGAAAGTACTCACTCAAGTCACGGTATTGCTACCTATACTTTGAGAGCATAAAGAAAATATTAGTCATGGGCACTGACCACATATGGAACCAAAACTGGAGGGACATTAAAGAGATCTCCTCTGGGCTCCTATGACTAGATAGAAACAGGTTAATTTTCTGGTCCATTTAAGTACGTAAGTTGGGGAAGCCTTTAAAAGACTTTTTATTCTTCTTCTTGGCTTCCTTGTTTTCCCTTGGATTATTTTTGCTCAATTAAATATGAATTTCCTTTTGTTTGGGATCAGTCTTTGATGTATCACATATACAGTCCATAAGCTTTGCAGATGTCACCTTGGTGATGTTGCTGATGCTGTTGGTGTGGGTGGCCCTCCTTAACATCTCAGCTGTCGCTGAGAGCAGTTGGAGTCTGAACATTGTGACATCTTGTCCCACGTGGTTCTTTGTTTCCTCAGCAGCAGAGAAAGAACCTCATGGCCTCTCCTCCTCTTGTCTCCAGGCCAGCCATCACCCTAGCAACAGGCAAACAGGGACAGGCAGAAAGAAGCTGGCTGAACCAGCCTCGGGAAAGCAGCTTCATGGGCGCCATAAATTACTGTGTCCTGATTTGATAATTGAAAACAGATTTGCCACGCCACTGAAGGGTGGTTAACGGCCACACAGGCCCCTTCATGTGTGTTGTCTTCCTAAATCTAATAACCCATCTCTAATCCTGTTAGGAGACAGGGGCCTTTCTGCTTGAGCACTGCATTTAAGAGAGACAGGGAACTCTATTTTCATCATCGAGAGTTTGGTGGAAAACAAGGCCTCCAGAGGGGATTCATTTATTCAACAACATCCTTTGCAGGCTTTTGTGACTGTTAGCCCTGATGAGGAATGACCCCTTTGGGAGCTGAGCAACCCTTTCTTGGGGGAGGGGGTCACCTAAAATTATTTGCACATCAGATATTTACATCCAGATTCATAACAGTAGCAGAATTACAGTTATGAAGCAGCAAGGAAATAATTTTATGGCTGGAGGTCACCGCAGCACAAGGGATTGTTTTAAAGGGTCACCACATTAGAAGGCTGAGAACCGCTGGTTTAGAGTAACCGTCTGGTCCTGCCTGCACGCTCGGGCATATTGTTATACATACAGCCAGAACTCTTTCCTTTGATTTTCATCCTCCCTCACAGCTCTCCAGTTGATAAGCAAATGAGACTTAGTCAAGTTGGGCAATTGTCCTCTAAGAACACAGGCTATGCCGCCTGAGAGTTCTGAATAATACAGCAGTGTTCTCCAGCCTTTGCGTTATCTTACCAGCACATCGAGGAAGGCAGGTGGTACGTTGGGGGTCAGAGCCTGGTCCCTGGGGTTGTTAGGGTCAGAGCCCGATCCCTGGCAGCTCTAGCAGCTGACTTACCCACCCGTTCCCAATAGACCAGCCAAACAGGCAAGCCACCAGTAACCATGAAAATCAGAGAACCAAGAGGTAGTCAGCATGGGCACACTGAAAAGAGGAACAAATAAAGCTACCCCATGACAACCCTCCCCCGAGTCGGTCTTCAGAGTCCAGACACGAGGTTAAGGTTTAAATAGAGGGCAAGAGGTATGGACAACTAAGCGATTCTGGTGAAGGCATGATCTGACCCATCCTTAACCCAGCATTGTCTGGACCCCAGGCTGTCCTGCACCGCAGTTGTTACAAGGTATGAGAACTAGGTGAAATTTCTATCCCAAAGACAAGTTTCTCTCTGACCTGCCCCAGAATTCAGCCTTTTTCTCCCTGCAGGTATGAAATTCTAGGGGACTTTTTTTTTTTTAACAATTTGATAGCCCAGAGGAGGGGCGCCAAGGTCTCTATAGGATGTCATCATCCCCATCAGGGTGGTTACAGTGGAAGCAGCCACCAGGGTTCACATTGCGTGGCTTTCGTCCTGCTAACAACTGCAGCCAGGTTCTCTCCTGATTACCCCAGGTCCAACAGCCTGAGGCTCGGAGAAGTCAGGGAGCTGCTTCAGGTCACATACAGCTATAAGATCTCAACACTAAGCCTTCTAAGGCCTTCACATGCCTCCTGCTATGTCCATGGACCTCACCTGCACTCCCAGCCTTCCTCTGTTTCTTTCACAACTGGAACATCTTTCCTCCCATGGTTCCCCACACCTGTGCTGGAAGATACAGGATCTACTCCCCATTGAGGCAGTATATTTTGACTTTCCCAAACAGGAGATTAAAGTTTGTGGCCTTGGCAGTCTTACAGGGAAGAGCCACGATCACATATAATAGACGTTTTGACTCTAGACCTTGAAATATCCAGCAGCAAGGAGAACCGTGCCAACTTCATTCTGTTTCCAAATCTTCATCCTGACAGGGCCAGGCGAGCCCAGCCTTTTCAGAATCTTAGCATCTGAATATGGACTCTATCGTTTTGACTTCTGTGATCTCAAGGGGGCCCCCAAAGTGCTCTGCTCCTCCGTTCCCACTGCTGCAAAATGGGAGCGATAGCCGTTTTAATAGTGTTATAGCAAATGATTTGTACTTTGCCTGGAATCGACCGGGCATTTAATAAGTGCTCATTTATTTTCTCTCATCAAAGTTATGAAGCTATAAAACTTGGCTTCCATTAGCCTAATCTAACTGCTTTTTGCACACCAGTGGGCAGGTTACAGCAAAGGGGAAACTTTGAATCGGGCTGCATGGGGCCAGGCAGTGCTATCAGAATCACAAGGCCAAGGTCAGAGTCACGCTTTCCTATCGAAGCCCACTTCCTGCCTGAGAATCTTGAGTAGCATTGCTAAGGAACCTTAAAGTGACAACACATGGCTTTTCTTCCGTTGGTACTAAACATCCTGTAGCAGGACTCTGTAAAGGTCAACCAATCTTAGAGGAAACAAATCAATACGGCCTTGTCCTTCTGGGACAGCGCTGCTTTCTTATTCTCCTGACGTGGCAGCGAGGTGTCGGCTGATAGAGGAAGTAGCAGAACTTTCTTGAATACACAGATCGAAATGATTTATGATTGCAGTCGTCATGGTTTATCTGAGGCTGCGGAACTCCGGAGCTTCAGAGGCAAACATCTTCTTTGAGCAGTATGGGGGGAGGAGAATTAGGACTCCAGAGTCAGACGGATCAGGATCCAGATCCTTACATTGTTGACTAGCTGAGAGAGACTGTTGAATTTTCAGACCCCCAAGAGTTTCTTCAGCTAAAAAGGGGATGGGCTGCAATGATAACTTTGGGTTTCTGGAGTCCTGATTCTCAATATTGACTGCAGCAGAAGCCTCCACAGTGTGCTGGTTATTCTTTGCTTTGTTTTTCCAAATATTATGGACTGAACCTAAAGCATTATGCATGCTAGGCAAGTATTCTACCACTGATATTTCTATCCCTAGATCCCTTTTGCCTTCTTATTTTAAGACTGGGTTTCAATGAGTTATCCAAGATTGGTCTTGAACTCATTTTGTAGTCCAGGAAGACCTTGAACTCATGATCTTCCTGTCTCAGCCTACAGAGTAACTGCAATGATAGTCTGTTAACCTCAGATCCTGGGCCCAACACTTTCTGATTTCTGCTTCAGGAAGCAGTAAAGTGGATACTTTCCACGTCTGAGAAGTCCCTGGGTGCTTTAGCTGCTAGACTAGGGACCTCACTTTAAGAAGTGCTGGAGTCAGCTGGGCAGTGTTGGCACACACCTTTAATTCCAGTTCTTGGGAGGCAGAAGCAGGCAGATTTCTGTGAGTTCACCATCAGCCTGGTCAACAGTGTGAGTTCCAGGACAGACAGGTAAACACTGAGAAACCATGTCTCCAAACAAGCAAATGCTGGTGTTAGGTGTTAGGAAGTCCAAGTAGACAAGGTACCATGCCCAGTGCTTAGCACAGAAGAAGACCATGCTAAATTGTACTGACGATCATGGTGATGTCCGTAGTGATGTCAGTCATGATGATGATGGTTGGTTGATTGATTGTGCATCTTTTCTCATACAATGTTTTACAAACTCATCAGGTGTGGGCAGAAGAAAAAGCTGGTGATCAACAGTGGCAATGGGAAGGTGGAGGACAGGAAGACAAGTGAGCTCAACGGAGAGGCCAGCAAGTCTCAGGAAATGGTGCATTTGGTGAATAAGGAACCATCAGAGACTCCAGACCAGTTTATGACCGCCGACGAGACCCGGAATCTGCAGAATGTGGACATGAAGATTGGGGTGTAGTGACTACCCCAGTAGCTTGGAAAGACACCAAATTGCTGACATGTCAATACTGGGAGCTGGGACCCTTCACAGATGCAGTGTGCTACTGATTACTTTCATTGGGGATAGTTTCAGCATAAAATTTTCTATTCCTTTTACATTTTTAAAAAAGTCCGTTCCAATTTATGAAAACAGCATTGCTTTCTGAAACGAGGACCCAAAGAATATTCCATTAAGAATTTGACTCTTCCAGTTCCTCCTGAGAGGCCTTGCATTCCCAGGGTATGCTACAGGTGGCTTCTATCAAATTCATATTCTTGATCCCTATTGAACCCTTTCCCTACCCTAAGTTCCAGGTAATAGTGACCAGCTAGGGACTTTCCCCAGGGCTTAGAGGAATTGGTCTCTGGGAGGAAATTTGAATGGGTCCATATTGCCTCTCCAGCAGTCCAGTCCTTGGGCATTGCTTTCCAGTGGGGTGGGAGATCAGGTGTACTGGTTATACACCCTTTTTATAGACTCCCCTCTCTGCTGGAAAAAGTTCAGATGCTTCTGAGAGATCCCCAAAGGGTGATGCTATTTATCTATAGTAAGCTATTTATCTTTGTTTTTGAAATATCAAACCCTGGAGGTCATTTGTTCAATATGACATTTTTTAGGTTACTTTGTCAGAAGCGTAACAGGGTATAAGTTGATTCATAATAAACACCTGTCCATCTTCCAGCTTGACCTTGTGCTTCAGTTTCTAATCTGCAAGGTCTGAGTCTTCATAGCGTATCAGGATGACTTTAGAATGGTCCTCCTAAACCCATGTTAGGGCACCTGTGCCCAACTCGGGTTCATCCAGCTGAATCTCATAGAAGATCAAGGAAGGAAACATTGTTTTGTATCTAGGGTATCAAAAGGGTTTCTTTCCTATTCTGGAATCTGAATTGTCGGTAGGCAAGTTTTGGTCACTTTGTGCTTTGGTGGTCACCCTTTTCTCTTTCTTAAAGGGCACATTAAATTTCTATGTCCTACAGTTTTTAGGGTCCTATTTCATAGAAGCCAGTTCTAGTAGTGATTTCACCAAACAGTATGGCGGAGGCTTGTGATGCCTTGTAATAAAAGGAGAAGCCAACCAAAATTAAAGTGTAGACAGTGAGCAGTAGTTGGCATCATGAGGGTGTGGTGTACAACCCATCCCACTATTTCCATGGATGTGTTTGTTGACATTTTCACAAATAGTTGGTACTCAGAATGAGTTGCCTGGGAATCCCCCAAAAAGCCACAGGGCTGCCCACTACTGGAATCTTATCACCAGACAAGCAGGTTTATGGTTTAGCCATGGAAGAATGGTATTACCCTTTAACCTCATATTCTTTTTACATACTGGGTAAGTGTTTGGTGGCATTTATTCATCTGCCAGAATGTCCCATTGCTCCTGGATCTTCCCAGGTTACTTGTAGAAGAAATTAAATCCGTAAGGTAAGGTTTCCTGTAAAGTAATACTTCTTTTCTAAGGCTCCCATGATGTTACTGTTGACTAAGTTTATATGTTTAATATTTTTGTCAAATAAAAACAAAACAAGAGAAAAATTTCCCATCTAAATCTGATTTGAGTTTATGTCAAGAGTGGACTCAGGCTTTATTTAAAAGCCATACACAGACTTTCCACCACTCATTCCCAGCCTCAGCTCTTCCAATCCCCCTTCCTGCCTCCTTCTGTCCCTGCTTACCTCTTCCCAATGCCATGGCTTCCACAAACTTCCTTTTTCCTTCCTCTGTAAATGCTACTAGTCAGTTTCATATTTAGACACCTAGTTTTCTTCGTCTTTTCCAGTTGAAATAGACACAAGGTTATTCTTTGTTGTTCTCCGTGGTGTTAGGATGCCCCGTGTCCTTAGAGCTGTCCTGGCTAACCAGCTCACAACGAGCTCACTGTAGGCAACGAGTCACTCTGCCATTGGTATGAAAGGGCTCTGCCAAGCTCTCCTTGATCCCTAGATACCCTTTGGAGGCACGAAGAGAGCCATGGAAGTCTCAGGGCTAGAGAGAATTCTCTCCCCAGCCTAGACATGCCCACCAGTGGGTTGGGTTGGATATTGTTTACTGTGATTGTTATAGTTCCTGTAGCATAGCCTGACTTTGTGTTACTCCTATCAATCACTTGCTGGGTGATATAGACTAAGTCATTGAACTGGGAGCTTGTTAATAAAAATAAGGGGCAGGCATGTAGTGATTCATGTAAAGTAACACAAGCACTTCAGATGTCATTTTCACTAGCAATTGTAAATCTGTATCCTGAAGGATTTCTTTCGAGTAGCCTTCGGTAAAAAAATCAAGAGGGGAAAGATACCTTCACATCTGTGTTTTGTAGGTTCTAGCTAGATAAATGGATGTTTCCAGAACCTTTAAAATGTTTTACATTGACATCCTTAGTACCAAGAGTTGGCTTTATAGCCAACATCCATTTAAGACTTTTGCAATGAAGTGGAAGAAAGAGCCACCTTCTCTGGAAAAGTAAAATGTTCAGAAGAACAGGAATTGTCCACTCTTACATCCTATTTCTTTGAGTAAATCTTCTGGGTTGACATTTCAAATGTAACCAATTGTAATGTTTGTACAATGACTTTCGCTATTGTTCCTTTGAGTTTTTCAGAGACCACCCTCCCTTTCTCTGGTTTTTGTATATTTATTAATTGACCAATAATAATGAGGAAAGCATGGTCTGTGTACCCAACTGAAAGTGTGTATTGGAAAACATTAAAAGGTCATAAGAAATGGAAGCCATGGTCTCTGAGGTGAGGGGCCTGGGAAGTGGAGAGGGGCAGACTGGATGTTTGGATGTCTGACTAACATGGAAGAAGTCAGAGGTTCCTGAGGCAGCTGGGGTCATGTTCCTTTATTTGTTTTGTTTGCATGTGTGTAGAAAAACTTGTAGGAGTGGACATGTTTGTGGAAGCCTGGGACCGAAATCAATCAAGGTCATCCCTGATGGTTCTTCCACCTCATTCCTTGAGGCAGGGTCTTTAAATCAAGTCCAAAGCTCTCCAGTATCGCTACACTTGCTATGGGGTTCCATTATGCCCACCCATTTTACATGGGTTCTGGGGATCTGATCTCCAGTGTTCACACATGTGCTGTATGTATTTTAACCCCTGAGTCATTTCCAGAAACTAGAACTCTTGATCACCTTTCTTCCTAAGTACTTGTAGTAAGGTACCGCACCGTAACCAGCTTCCTTCTTTTTTTTTTTTCTTAAAGAAAGAAATAACAACAACAACAGCAAACATCTAGATGAGCTTCTATCACTTGAAATTGGTGTTGAGGAAAAGTTTGACCCCACAGTTCTATTGTTAAGAACCATCTAAAAAGCAAGTCAGATGCTGTCAAGTGTGACTTCCTAAAATTTCTAGAACTGTCTTCAGGCTCGATTTAAGAGAGTAGAGAATATACCCCCATTCCATCCCTTATGACAGCTTCTTAACCACAGTTACGAGGCACTGAGGCTGTAGCTCAGTTGAGAGAGTACTTGTCTGGCATAAACAAGGGCCGGGTTTCCATTCCCAGCATTGCATATATAGATGTAGTGGTATATGTCTGTAATCCTACTGTTTGGAAGGTAGAGGCAGTGAGATCAAAAGTTCAAGGCAATTCTTAGATCCTTAGTCAATGTTGGGCCAGATAGGACAGTATAGAGATGAAGAACTATTCTCAAGAGAAGCTTGGAAGAGGAACTGACACTAACTGTCACTGAAAAATGGTGGTTAATTGGTAACTGGTTAAATAATTTGGAAGTCTTTAACCCTAAATTAATTCTGAGGAAAGCTGAGATATAACCATGCCTGTGGGCTGAGTGCCACAGAGGCTCAGAAATTGGCATTGGTAGCTGTCCTACAAATGATGAGGAAGGAAATGGGTTCAGAGTTTTTGTAGGAAGCTGTGGGAACCCCAGTCCCCTCTCCTCCTCTATGCAGTCTAGTTTATTGTCCTTTCACAGTGCCCATAAAAAGGCAGAATTATATTCTCTGGAGAGAGTAAAAAAGCCAAGGGCAACAAGGGAGACACAGTTGACAATACAAATCGCACGTGCACGTGTATGTGCTCTAGCGCACACACACGTGCGCACACACACACACACACACACACACACACACACACACACACACTGAAGCTCTGCCACGTATAGAAATGTTCAAATTCCCTGTTCTTCTTCCTCTCCTTGGCTCCCAGAACACCGGCAGAGTCCTGCTCCCTTCAAGAAGTTCCACCTTTCTAGGGAATTTTATAAGCCTGGGAAAAAGTCTGAGGATACCAATATGTTATTGCCCTAGGGAAACAGGCAGGAGCTGTTGAGGAAGGATCAAGTCTCAGACCCTATCAGGCACCCACCTTTCTATGCCTGGCTCAGCAAACTGAGAGACAGGGGTTCTAAGTCCTTGCAGAAAACACCTAGCATCGATACAAGGACCAAAACAAATAAGATCAAGCCACTTAGAAGAGATAGAAACAGTTCATGGAGAAAAAATAAACAAGCAAACACTATCATCGGGAGTCTCAGTAAGAGAGGAGGCAAAGCATCAAGGGAGGACAGAATGCTGGGTACAAATGACGCTCACGTGCACCTCAAGATGGAGCTTTCAAAAAGTTCAGTGCAAAAGGACACAGTTTTAAAATAAGCCCAAGAGAAGGTTTATAAGATAAAATTCGAGAAATAGGATTGCAAAGGCAATGACAAAGGAATGGAGATAGAGAGATATGCATTTCAATTATCAGCTCTGATAGGAAACCTAGTGGGCAAATCAGAAAAGACATCGAAAAAGAAAACACTGGCAGTGGAGAGGAGAGATCATGCAAAAAACAAAACAAGAAAATGTCCCAGAATTTATGAATACGAATATCTGATTAAGGAACAGAAGAATACTTAATAAAATAGACAAAAGCAAAACTCCATCAAGTCATTGTCATAAAAATTCTCAACATTTTTGGAAAAGAAATGATCCTGTATTTTCTAGGGAAAAGAAGTAGGCCTTATAAATAGAACCAAGACTCAAGTTAGGCCATGGGCAAGATACTGTGGAGTTGGCTAAGATATGTACAACCAGAAGTCTCTCAGGAGTCAAAAGTAAATGAGAAGATCATAAGTCTGATAGGTCAGCCTGGGCTCCATAGAAAGACCCTGTCTCTAAAATCAAACAAACAAACACAAAAGAGTCAGGGTAGAATCAGACTTCTCACCGGCCATTTTAGAAGAAAGAGAGACATGAGACATGGTGGAATAATAGCTTCCTGCCCAAGGGAAGCCTCCAGGATGGGATGTGCCCCCAAAAGACCTTCCCAGAGGCTTGGGTATTTGCAAAATAATCTGACGCTCAGACCACACTGAGCCTGGGCGAATAGGAGATATCTGTGCACCTGTAGTACCCTTATCAAACCAAGGGCACCTGAATTTGTAAAATAATTGGAGGACTTTAAGAATACAAAATTGGAAGTTTTCTCTTGAACTAAATGTACCTCATGAAGGTGTTTTATTTAGCCTGGGTAAATTAAACTCATTTAACGATACTTAAAGAAAATTTTGAGGGAATTGTTTCCAGGCTAGACGTGTAACTAAGTTGCATACAAATGAAAGGTAAGAACAGAATGGAGACATTTCATCTATGCTCAGTATCCAAGCACATTCACTCACTCTTAGGCGACTGCCAGGGATGCTCTCTCCCTAAAATAAGTGTAACCAAGAAAGG